GCTCCCATGAGTTCCCATACACTCCCCATTAACTTTTGGGAGTTTTAATGGATTGACATGAACTTCTTGGGAGCTCCTATGAACTTTCTTCAACTTTTATGAACTTTTTGATAACTTTTATAAACTTTAAGAACTTTTAAGAACTTCACATGGACTCTTTACAACACTCCCACAAGCTCCCATGAACTCTTTGATGACTTTCACAAACTTTTATGAACTTCAATTGACTTTGGGAAGGGCTGATATAAGATCCCCTGACCCTGCATGATCCCCCTATTTTTTCCTATGTATATGTTCCCCTGCACCATTTCCCATTCCCATTCCCTATATGTTTATATGTCTATATAAGAAAATACGAAGGAAAGCAATCTTTTCATGAATCAGCAACTCTTGGCTCTTGGAGTTTCCAAACTTCCTGAGCCAGTAATTCCCTAACAAAGGACTCCACCGGTCCCATTTGCATGGACAATAGATAAATGACTCTATCTATCTAGACCTCGGAATGCTGATAGCCAGGTGTGGTGAATCTAACCTTTTGCCAGGAAGGCCGAAGCCTGGAAAGTGAGTAGCTGACATGTTCAGAGACAGGCAGGAGAGCTAAGAGGCAGGAGGGAGGAGTCAGCCGGCTCCTGATTGGCTAGAGCAGTCAGGGGAGGAGTTAGGTTTTAGAGGGGAAAAGGCTGTGTCTTTTTGACAAGCGGGAGAGAAGAGCTTTAAAGATCGAAGAGTGTAGAAGTATATTTAGGAAGAGGGAGCTGTGAAGAATTTAGACAGGGAGGGAAAACTTTTGAAGTGAGCCTTGAGGGTTAGAGTATAGGAAAGGCAAAGGTTCCTGGTTCACTGTACAAAGAAGGGTCAGTGAAGGAAAGCCTATTTTGCTCTGTGAGGCAGTCAGTGGACTGTTCTCAGAGACACACTGTGTCAAAGTAGTGAGCAGTGTGAAGCAAGGAACTCACAGGAAACAAAAGTTGAAGTCTTAAGAAAAGACTGCCTGTCTAACCAGTTAAGCCTCTGAAACGCATTACGCTTATGTACCACTCGTATTAAGAGTTGCTTTGTTAACCAAGTTTAAATAAACCTGTTTATAATTTCATCTTAAACTGGTGTCTGCCTCGGTCTGTCACAATCATCAGATCTCAGCAAGTCTAAAGCCAACTTAATTTCAGTCCAGTCAGCGAGAGAAGCAGTCATTACAGAAGAACCAAAGGCTTGAACAAACTTTACCTATTTCATATTCACACTTATGTTTTCATCAGACATTAATTGAGGTGGTGGCGGCAAATCTACCTATCACATCGGTCAATAACTATAACACAGTTGGTCACTTAATAAATATATTATTGAGGTTGGATAAGAGAGTCTTTCCCCCTTGGTCTTAGTCATTTATCGTCGTTAAAGTAGTGTCCAGCTGAACGTTAACCCTTTACACTGGTGGGCAGTGGGTGAGATTGCTTGTCCCCTCTGTCCAGTGTGAGGTTGATCTTTGTTATACCAGGCCATCCAGAACAATAGGGTCTATGGACATACTGGATCACCCAACATAAAGGGCATTTCCCTATCTGCGAGGAACCAGGGATTTTGTCACCACCTCCCCCACTGTGTCACATCCTGATCCGAAACCAAATATCTGCTCCAACAAAGAATTCCATATTGCAGCAAGGAAGAACAAAAGGACCTGGCCTCTCGGAGGTAGATGCAGATGTTATTGCAAAGGACATAATAATAACTATAACCTGGCTTGAGAGTCTAAAGCTATTGCTGGGTCATTGGGCAAACACCGGTCATCTTAATCCTATCATATACCCATTTTATTCAGTTTCCCGCCCGGCCCGCCTCCTGCCACTTAATTGGCTGAGCGACAGAAGTGGGCCTAGCACCCTGATTGGACAGAGCGCAGCTTCACTGGACTGCTCCTCCCGGCCAGCTGATACTCTAGCCAGCCAGCATGGAGCCGGCTCAGGGGGTGGGTGTGGGAAATTTGAATTTGACAGCTCTGTATTTCCTATAAATATTGTGTTATTTTGCTTAGTGAGTTATGTCAGCTCCTGGGCAAATGACTGTGATCATCATCCATTCTAGCTGGAATGAAATAAACATCTCAGTGGCTTTCCTTCGACTTGGTGAGACTTTTATTGGGAAAAATTAGGGGAAATTATTTTGGGTGCTTGCTGTCTCACCAGGTGTCCCAGATCCTCTTTTTGGGTCTAGCCAGTCTCTGCTTTGCCAGGGCCTCTAAAATTCATGTTTGACTTCAAGACATGGCGGAAGGGAAATCCTCAGACTATTCTCATGCTAACTAAACTGTTCCTCATTGAGGACTGCAGATTTGAGCAGTGTGGTGTTGAATGTCAACACCAATAACATATGAAGAAGGGGGGAGGGAATTGCCCCTGCCGCCCCCGCCCCCCCAGCCTTCTAGCACATAATTGGTATTGCAAGGAAGTGTGCTGCAAGGCCTAACGTTGGTCCCATAAATTCTCAACCATTTTAAAGATTTTTCTGGAGGATTTTATTTTGTGTTTGGCTGCCCTGCTGAAAGGCCTGGCAGGGCATCTGGGGGCAGGTGTGTGGACTTTAACTTGGGCCCCAATTGGGTTTAAGAAACCTGATTGCACTTGGATTAAAGCCCTGTGTGGAACTGCCACTAGTGGGCAGTAGATTTTCTGCATTGGTTGAGATTAGACTAGATTAAGGGCCCCTTCCACACTGCTAACCCAGAATATCAAGGCAGAAAATCCCATAATATCTTCTTTGGACTGGATTATCTGAGTCCACACTGCCATATATTCCACGGCCCTTCCATACAGCCCTATATACCAGAATATCAAGGCAGAAAATCCTACAATATCTGCTTTGAACTGGGTTATCTGAATCCACACTGCCATATATTCCACGGCCCTTCCATACAGCCCTATATCCCAGAATATCAAAGCAGAAAATCCTACAATATCTGCTTTGAACTGGGTTATCTGAGTCCACAGTCAGATAATGTGGGATTTTCTGCCTTTTTTATTTATTTATTTGTCGTGTCTGGGCAACCAGTCAATTGTATTACATTTCTAACAGAACAAAGCAAATAGACAGACAAAATACAAAATTGAGTTTGGTAGTTGATTAAATGTCCTTTGACCAGTATCTGGCCACTTGGAGTGCTTCTGGTGTTGCTGCAAGAAGGTCCTCCATTGTGCATGTGGCAGGGCTCAGGGTGCATTGCAGCAGGTGGTCAGTGGTTTGCTCCTCTCCGCACTTGCATGTTGTGGATTCCACTTTGTAGCCCCATTTCTGAAGGTTGGCTCTGCATCTCGTGGTGCCAGAGCGCAGTCTGTTCAGCGCCTTCCAAGTTGCCCAGTCCTCTGTGTGCCCAGGAGGGAGTCTCTCATTTGGTATCAGCCATTGGTTGAGGTTCTGGGTTTGAGCCTGCCACTTTTGGACTCTTGCTTGCTGAGGTGTTCCAGCGAGTGTCTCTGTAGATCTAAGAAAACTATGTCTTGATTTAAGTCGTTGACGTGCTGGCTGATACCCAAACAGGGATGAGCTGGAGATGTCTCTGCCTTGGTCCTTTCACTATTGGCTGCTACTTCCCGTGGATGTCAGGTGGTGCAATACCGGCTAAGCAGTGTAATTTCTCCAGTGGTGTGGGTCGTAGACACCCTGTGATAATGCGGCATGTCTCATTAAGAGCCACATCTACTGTTTTAGTGTGGTGAGATGTGTTCCACACTGGGCATGCATACTCAGCAGCAGAGTAGCATAGCGCAAGGGCAGATGTCTTCACTGTATCTGGTTGTGATCCCCAGGTTGTGCCAGTCAGCTTTCGTATGATATTGTTTCTAGCACCCACTTTTTGCTTGATGTTCAGGCAGTGCTTCTTGTAGGTCAGAGCACGGTCCAGAGTGACTCCCAGGTATTTGGGTGCGCTGCAATGCTCCAGTGGGATTCCTTCCCAGGTGATCTTCAGAGCTCGGGATGCTTGTCTGTTCTTAAGGTGAAAGGCGCATGTCTGTGTTTTAGATAGATTAGGGATCAACTGGTTTTCCCTGTAGTAGGCAGTTAGAGCACCTAGAGCAGGGGTCCACAAACTTTTTATACAGAGGGCCACGTCACAGTCCCTCAAACTGTTGGAGGGCCGGATTATAATTTGAAAAAAAAAATGAATGTATTCCTATGCACACTGCACATACCTTATTTGAAGTGCAAAAAACACTTAATATAATAATTAAAATGAAGAACAATTTCAACAAATATAAAATGATTAGTATTTCAATGGGAAGTGTGGGTCTACTTTTGGCCGATGAGATAGGATTGTGCTTTCAAGTAGTTTCAGACTTAGGTTGACCCTGAGCAAGGGCCGGGTAAAAGACCTTGGAGGGCCGCATCTGGCCCCCGGGCCTTAGTTTGAGGACCCCTGACCTAGAGCTTCGGAGAGCTTCTGTTCAACCATCTCAAAGCTCCCTGCTTGAGCGGTAATGACACGATCATCAGCATAGATGAAACTCTCTGTCCCTTCTGGCAGTGGCTGGTCATTTGTGTAGATGTTGAACACGGATGGAGCAAGCATGCTCCCCTGAGGCAGGCTGTTCTTCTGTTTCCGCCATCTGCTTCTCTGGCCCTGGTACTCAACAAAGAAGCTCCTGTTTTGTAGCAGGTGTCCTATGAGGCGGGTGAGGTGGTAGTCCTTTGTGATAGTGTACATTTTTCTCAGGAGGAGGCGGTGGTTCACAGTATCATAGGCTGCTGAGAGGTCTATGAAGACAGCTCCTGTGATCTGCTGCCTTTCAAAGCCATCTTCTATGTGCTGAGTCAGGATAGACCACTGCAACACACTCTATGTGGGGTTGCCTTTGAATTGTGGATGTAGAAGTCCAAAACACCTGGAGGGAGGAGGGCCTCAAGTTGGCCTGGGTTTGAAATTAGAGCCAGATTTGGTTGCTATGGCGACGCGGAAACGAGAGGAACCCTCCTGGGCGCCAGGGGGCGCTGCGAAGGGAATTTGGGCGACGCAGCCAGGCGGGGACAGAGGGAAGGAGGGAGGGCGGGCGAGGGGGAAGGCCGCCCTTCGTCGGTTTTTGTGTGAGGAAGCGAAAGCGAAGCGGGTTCGCCTCCGGAGGAAGGAAGGAAGGCAAGAAGGGGCGGGCCTCCTGCGCGTCCCGAGAGCGGCCTCCTTCCCCGCCGCCGCCGCTCATGAGGAGGAGGAAGCGGAGCAGCGCCTGAGGCCGAACATGTCTGGCAACGGCTTCGACCGCGCGCCCGGGGCGGGGCGGGGCCGAGGCGTCCCCCTGGCCCCGGAGAGCGGGCCTCGGCCGGGAGGAGGGGGAGGAGGAGGGGCGGGCCACCACCAGGAGCCCCTGAGGCCCCCCAAGACCGCGCCCCCGCCAGCCCGTGCCGCCGCCGCCGCCTCAGGTAAGCGCCGCCATTCGTCCCAGGAAGGAGGACAGTCCTCATAATAGCCAGAGAAAGGGCTTCTCCCTCATACCATTAAGGTCCTGTAGTAATAATAAGGCCCAGAGTCACCTCAGGTGGGATTGCAGGTTGTTCTAGCAATCATAATAATAATAAGAAAGAGGAAGACCCAATGTCACCTCAGGTGGATTGCAATGAGTAGGGAGAGGAAACTAGGATCACAGGTGGACTGCATTTAGTGATATAATAATGAATTAGAGGAGGAAGAAGAAGACCCAATGTCACTTCAGGTGGATAGGGAGAGGAAGAATAATTATACCCAGTGTCACCTCGGGGGGGATTGCAGTCCATAATAATAATAATAATAATAGGAAGAAGACTCAGTTATCTCAGGTAGATTGCAATTAGTAATAATATAATATAGTGTCTTGATATATTGTTTATTGCTTGTTGTTAATATTGCTTAACTGTTTTTAATTTGCTTTAGGTGTTGTATTATGTTGTGTTTTGAGGCCTTGGCTTTTGTAAGCCGCATCAAGTCCTTCGGGAAATGCTAGCAGGGTACAAATAAAGTTAATAATAATAATAATAATAATAAATATTAATTAAATATTAATAAGCAAATAGGAGCAAAGGAAACTAGTATCACAGGTGGACCGCATTTAGTGTTATAATAATGAATTAGAGGAGGAAGAAGACCCAATGTCAACTCAGGTAGATTGCAATTAGTAGGGAGAGGAAGAAGAATTATACCCAGTGTCACCTCGGGTGAATTGGAGTCCAAAATAATAATAAGAGGAAGAAGAAGACTCAGTTATCTCAGGTAGATTGCAGTTAGTAATAATATCATAAATATTAATTAAGTATTAATAAGCAGATAAGAGGAGGAAGAGGAAACTAGTGTCATCACAGGTGGACTGCAATTAGTAGGGAGAGGAAGAAGAATTATACCCAGTGTCACCTCGGGGGGATTGCAGTCTAAAATAATAATAATAAGAGGAGGAAGAAGACTCGGTCATCTCAGGTAGATTGCAATTAGTAATAATATCATAAATATTAATTAAATATTAATAAGCAAATAGGAGGAAGAGGAAACTGGTTTCATAATAATAATAATAACCTTTTACCCTCCTCCCCGACTCATCACAGGTGGACTGCAATTAGTAACATAATAATAAATTGGAGGAGGAAGAAAACCCAATGTCAACTCAGGTGGATTGCAATTAGTAGGGAGAGGGAGAAGAATTATACCCAGTGTCACCTCGGGGGGGGGGGGGGTGCAGTCCATAATAATAATAATAATAATAATAGGAAGAAGAAGACTCAGTCATCTCAGGTAGATTGCAATTAGCAATAATATCATAAATATTAATTATTAATAAGCAAATAAGAGGAGGAAGGTGCAAAGATTACTGCAGATGCAGACTGTGGCCAGGAAATCAGAAGACGCTTACTTCTTGGGAGGAGAGCAATGTCCAATCTCAATAAAATAGTAAAGAAAAAGTGATGGGGCGTTTGTGGAAAACATACAAGCAGACCTAAAGAATGTAAAGTGCTTTGGAGGACAAAGTGCTATGGGATCATTATTCTGGGAAGGCACACTGGAACAACCACGTCTTCAAGCTCCTCCTGAAGACTGCCAGAGTTGGGGCCTGCCTGATGTCCTTAGGAAGTGAGTTCCAGAGTCAAGGGGCCACCACCGAAAAGGCCCTCTCTCTCTCTCTCTCTCTCTCTCTCTCTGCAATCACAGGTGGATTGCAATTGTTAATATAATAATGAATTAGAGGAGGAAGAAGACCCAATGTCACCTCAGGTGGATTGCAATTAGTAGGGAGAGGAAGAAGAATTATACCCATTGTCACCTCGGGGGGATTGCAGTCTAAAATAATAAGAAGAAGAGGAAGAAGGAGACTCAGTCATCTTAGGTAGATTGCAATTAGTAATAATATAATAATAAATATTAATTGACTATTAATAAGCATATAAGAAGAGGAAGAGGAAACTAGTGTCATCGCAGGTGGTCTGCAGTTAGTAACATAATAATAAATTGGAGGAGGAAGAAGACTCAATGTCAACTCAGGTGGATTGCAGACCATAATAATAATAATAATAATAATAATAATAATAGGAGGAAGCAGAAGACTCAGTTATCTCAGGTAGATTACAATTAGTAATAATATATAATAAATATTAATTAAGTATTAATAAGCAAATAAGAGGAGGAAGAGGAAACTAGTGCCATCACAGGTTGACTGTAATTATTAACATAATAATAAATTAGAGGAGGAAGAATACCCAATGTCGCCTGAGGTAGATTGCAATTAGTAGGGAGAGGAAGAAGAATTATACCTAATGTCACCTCGGGGGGATTGCAGTCCCAAATAATAATAATAATAATAATAATAATAATAATAATAATAGGAGGAGGAGGAAGAAGACTCAGTCACCTCAGGTAGATTGCAATTAGTAATAATATCATAAATATTAATTAAATATTAATAAGCAAATAAGAGGAGGAAGAGGAAACTAGTTTCATAATAATAATAATAATAATAATAATAATAACCTTTTACCCTCCCCCCCTCCCCATTCCACCCTACCAGAGACTGCCAGAGTTGGGGCCTGCCCCATGTCCTTAGGAAGTGAGTTCCAGAGTCGAGGGGCCACCACCGAAAAGGCCCCCCCTCTCTCTCTCTGCAATCACAGGTGGATTGCAATTGGTAATATAATAATGAATTAGAGGAGGAAGAAGACCCAATGTCACCTCAGGTGGATTGCAATTAGTAGGGAGAGGAAGAAGAATTATACCCATTGTCACCTCGGGGGGATTGCAGTCTAAAATAAGAAGAAGAAGAGGAAGAAGGAGACTCAGTCATCTTAGGTAGATTGCAATTAGTAATAATATAATAATAAATATTAATTGACTATTAATAAGCAAATAAGAGGAGGAAGAGGAAACTAGTGCCATCACAGGTGGACTGCAATTATTAACATAATAATAAATTGGAGGAGGAAGAAGACTCAATGTCAACTCAGGTGGATTGCAGTCCATAATAATAATAATAATAATAATAATGATAATAGGAGGAAGCAGAAGACTCAGTTATCTCAGGTAGATTACAATTAGTAATAATATCATAAATATTAATTAAGTATTAATAAGCAAATAGGAGGAAGAGGAAACTAGTTTCATCACAGGTGGATTGCAATTGGTAATATAATAATGAATTTGAGGAGGAAGAAGACCCAATGTCAACTCAGGTGGATTGCAATTAGTAGGGAGAGGAAGAAGAATTATACCCAGTGTCACCTCGGGGGGATTGCAGTCCAAAATAATAATAATAATAAGAGGAAGAAGAAGACTCGGTCATCTCAGGTAGATTGCAATTAGTAATAATATCATAAATATTAATTATTAATAAGCAAATAAGAGGAGGAAGAGGAAACTAGTTTCATAATAATAATAATAACCTTTTACCCTCCTCCCCGACTCCCCCCTCCCCTATTCCACCCTACCTTCAATCCTAAAACCTTTTACTTTTTATCATACAATTGTAAGAAAACTCCTTAATAAAAATTATAATTTTTGAAATAATACTTTATTTGTACCCCGCTACCATCTCCCCAAGGGACTCAGTGCAGCTTTCATGAGGCCGAGCCCAAATACAACAATACAAGCAATAATCACAACAATACAGCAATTAAAAATAAAACATGGACAATAAAATAATGAAACATTAACACTAAGACAACACACAATTAAAACTGTGGGAAGGCCAAAGGTAAAATTAAAATTGAAAATAATGCTGGAACAAGGGCGAAAAAGTGATGGGGCGTTTGTGGAAAACATACAAGCAGACCTAAAGAATGTAAAGTGCTTTGGAGGACAAACTGCTATGGAATCATTATTCTGGGAAGGCACACTGGAACAACCACATCTTCAAGCTCCTCCTAAAGACTGCCAGAGTTGGGGCCTGCCCCATGTCCTTAGGAAGTGAGTTCCAGAGTTGAGGGGCCATCATCGAAAAGGCCCCCCCCCCTCTCTCTCTGCAATCACAGGTGGATTGCAATTGGTAATATAATAATGAATTAGAGGAGGAAGAAGACCCAATGTCACTTCAGGTGGATTGCTATTAGTAGGGAGATGAAGAAGAATTATACCCAGTGTCACCTCGGGTGGATTGCAGTCCATAATAATAATAATAATAATAATAATAAGACGAAGACTCAGTCATCTCAGGTAGATTGCAATTAGTAGTGCTGGAGACAAGCCTTTGAAAAGACAGGGAAATACAGTATGAAGACAAACATTTTGGTGGAGCGAACAAAGGGGATGTAAGGTCACTCTCCAAAAACCCAGTGTCACCTCAGATGGATTGCAATTAATAATTATTAATATTAATAAATAACAGAAAGAAGACCCAGTGTCAGCTGAGATGGTTTGCAAATAATAATAATAATAATAATAAGACCTTGGCCTGCACTTAAACATAATCGGCACTGACAAAATTCCCATCTGTCAGCTGCAAAAGGCCACCCTACTGGTAATTGTACGCATTAATAAAAACACTGAAAAACACAGTAGAAGAGACTTTAAAAGCAAAAAAAAAAAAACCATTACAACGCATGCGCAAAACCACATATACATACACATACATACACACACAAAACACATATACACAGACTGGGTTACAGCAACGCATGGCAGGGGACGAGTAGTAACTGTAATAAGACCCAGGTGGTCACTTCAGGTGGATTTCTGATAAGAAGAAGACGACCCAGAATCATCTGTGCGATCAAACTACAAGAGAGGAGGGCCTTCTTGGTGGTTGCACTCAAGAACTCCCTGCCCAGGGAAGTCAGAATGCCCACCTTCCTGCTATACTTCTGTCAGCAGGCTAAAACCTTTTTATTCAGGAAAGTATTTAAAGAATAAAGTTGTTAAGACCGAACATTAGGAAGAACTTCCTAACTGCGAGAGCTGTTCAGCAGTGGAACTCTCTGGCCCGAGGTATGGTGGAGGCTCCTTCTTTGGAGGCTTTTAAACAGAGGCTGGGTGGCCATCTGTTGGGGTGCTTTGAATGTGATTTTCCTGCTTCTTGGCAGGGATTGACTGGATTCCTTTTATCATTCTATCTCAGGTCGATTGCAATTAATAGTAATAATAAGACCCAAAGCCACCTCAGATGGATTGTCATTAATAATAATGCTAAGATCCAGCATAGCCTCAGATATATTGCAGTTGATAATAATAGTAAGATCCAATGTTACCTCAGGTGGATGTTGCCATTAGAAATAATAATAAGATTCACCATTGCCTCAGGTGGATTGCAGTTAGTCATGATAATAGTGAGAGCCAAACTTGCTTTTGGTAAATAGGCATTAATAATAAGAATACCAAGATCCAGTGTCACTCTTGGTATATTGCGATTAGAAATAATAATAATAATAATAATAACAACAACAATTTGGACTCAAGTAGATTGCAAATCCTAATAATGATAATAAATAATAATAATTCAAAGAAGAGTAGGGTTGCCCTAGTATACTGCATTTAGTCATAATAACAGTGAGATCCAGCATCGCCTCAGGTGGGTTGCAATTAGTGGTAGTAGTAGTAATGTCAATTAATAACAAGATTCAGAGTTGCCTTTTTACTAACTGAAGTTAGAAATAATAACAAGCAGGGCTGCCTCTGATAGATTGCTATTAGTAATAGTAAGATCCAGTGTTGCCTCGGCTAAATGGCAATTAATAATAATAACATCTGCCATGCCTTTTTTAGATTACAATTAATAACAGTAGTTTCCAAGGTCGCCTCAGCTAAATTGCTATTAATATTAATAATATGATTCATCGCCGTCTCTGGTAGATTGCCATTAGCCATAATGATAGTAAGATACAGCATTGCCTCAAGTGGATTGCAATTAGTAATAATAATAATAAGCTCTACCATTGCCTCAGGTAGATTACAATTAATAACACTAGCAAGTATACAGTGTCGCTTCAAGTGGATGGTAAAAAAATAATCTCGGTAGATTTAGCACCGCCTCAAATAGATTGTTGTTAGCCACAATGATAATAAAATACACTATTACTTTAGATAGATTGCCATTAGTAATAATAATAAGATCCAGGATTGCTTCAGATAAATTGTTATTAATAATAAAATCTAACATAACCTGAGGTAGACTGCAAATAATAATAATATTCAGTGTCTTCTCAGTAAATTGCAATTAATAATAATGATTCAGTATCGGATCAAGTAGATTGCAAATAATAGTAATTGGATCCATGATTCCTCAGGTAGACTAATCAATAATAATATTTAGTGTCACCTCAGGTAGATTGCTAAAAAAAAGATCCAGTGTCAGCACAGAATCATTGCAATTAATAATAGATCCAGTATTGTCTCAGATAGATTGATAATGATAATGATAGGATCCAGGCTGTCTGGGGTAGATTGCAAACAGTGATAGGATCCAGTGATACCTCAGGCAGGTTACAATTAATAATTATAATATTAATACGGCTTTTTCTCAAGTAGTTTGTAATCAATCAACAATAGTAAAAATAAAAAAGATCCAGCATAACTTCAGATAGATTGCAATTAGAAATCATAATAAGATTCACTATGGCCTCATGTAGATTTCAAATAATAATAATAATAATAATAATAATAATAATAGTATTATTATTTGATACAGAACAACCAACATAGTAATCTTGTTTGCTGTGTACTAATCTTGTTGTGTATCAAATAATAACACTAATAATAGAATCCATTGCAATAAATAATAATAGGATCCACAATTACCTCAGGAAGGTTGTAGTTGGTAATAATTTGCATGGTACTGTTCCATGTTCTCCCTGCTCCACTCAAGCCATCTGCCCTTATCGTTTCCCTCTCTTCCATTGGAGGCTCTTTATTTTAAAGAGAAAGGGGTTGTGGTGACCCCTTCACTCCATGTAACTGAACTTATCTGGTTTGCAGAAGAAAGGTAGAGGAGCCACTCAGTATGTCAGGTTTTGCAAATGCAGGTTGAGTATTCTTTATCTTCAGTGCTTGAGACTATAAGTGTTCTGTCCCTCTCTCTCATTCACACACACACACACACACACACACACACACACACACACGTACACACACATGAATATACATAAGGAGTTATCTTGGAGATGGGACCCAGGTCTAAACACAAAATTCTTTTAAGTTTGATTTATACTTTATACATCTACCCTGAAGTTGATTTTATATACAGTATTTTAATACTTTTGTGCTTGAAACAAAGTTTGTGTATCTTGAACCATCAGAAAGCTGAGATGTCACTATCTCAGCCCCTCATCTGGACAATTTTGAAGTTTGAAGTAGTTCAGATGTTAAAATTCTGGATAAGGGATACTCAAGGGATTCCGCAGTTTAAAGTCCAACTAAGATGGAATGAGGCCAAAAGATTGGGGTAATAGAAAGAAAATATACATTAAATGCTGCTATTGACAGCTTTAATTTTTTACCCCAAAATTTGCTTTCTTTGAGCCTTTTTCTCCTTTAAAAACATGTAACTGGCAAAGACAAACACCTTACAAAGCAACTGAAAATATCTGTTGTTGAGTTTGAAATGCCATAAACTAATTGGAGAATGTAGCAGAAGGGTGCATCTACACTGTCAACTTAATGCAGTTTGACGGCATTGGTACAAAGACTTTAACTACCATGGTTCAGTGCTGTAGAATCATCATGGGAACTGTAGTTGGCAGGCATTGTATCAAACAATTGCTTCTTTTTTGAAATAGGATTTGTTTGTGTTTTTTGTGGGAAGGGGGGGCAGCTAGCTTGAATTCCCTTTCTTGTGTGCCCTCAAGTTGTTTATGACTGATGGCAACCTATCATGCCGTTTTCTTGGCAAGATTTGTTCAGAGCAGATTTGCTATTGCCATCCTCAGAAGCTGAGAGTGTGACTTGTCCAAGCTCACCCAATGCATTTGTTGAGGATTTCAGTCCTGGTTCCCAGAGTTTTAGTTCAGTGCTCAAACCACTCTAACACAGTCTGACTCCCTTTGAATTCCTATATCAATGCAGAAAGCAGTAACGGAGGGGGGAGCTCCACACATTTTACAATCAGTGAAGATTACAAAATTCTGTTTGCTCAAATGTATGCAGAATCGAATTGCAGTATTTACTAAATCAGTTGGAGGGTGAATTCTGGTGGTCAGATGACATGGTGGGGAAGGAGTTGCTATATCCTAAGATTGCTATGCCATGTTCTCAAATAATTACACTCTTTTGTGAATAACTGTAACTGAAAGCAATCTGATCTAGTGAGAGATTGGTACAAATTTCTCTATTTCAATACAGCCTTGATCATAACCAGTCCAGCGTGAATTCAGTGTTCATTGGCTTGATGACCACCTCTCAGGAGTGGTTTAGCTGTGGGGCTGGAATAGATGACCCTAGGGGTTCCCTTGACATGTATGATTAGATTTCTTTTGATATCACACATTCTTTAGTCCTTCAAGTTACTTGGTAGATTTTCAGACCACCAGTAATTGAGTTGAATTCTTTTGTAGATTGTTTTTGTTTTGTTTTATTCAGAGATTAAGCCTTTCCTGCAGTCATTCTTTTCTCCCTCTTTCATTTGACTGTTGTGGTAGAATGCAAAATGCCCAAATTGATTGCTTATGTGTACAGATTCAAGTGAGTTCCATCAAAATAACCAGAGACAGGAAATACAAGGTGGAATTGAAGTAAATAAAATCAGATAAAATAAAGTCATTCTTTTCTAGTGTGGAGTATTTCTTCAGAGAATTTTAGTCCCCTCCAGTGGAAAAACCGATTTTCCCTGAATAGATACAGCCTGCTGACAATCAGAGCATGTCATTTCTGCTTTGCTGCATCATGGTTTGCTGAAGAACATAATAGAGCATTTTTGTCCCATTACATTACATTGTCTATGAGAAACTATTCCAATGGCAGAAAGAAATAGATTTGTTGGGGCACTTTTTAAATCCCAGTTTTTATTTGTAGGGAAACATGCACTTAACAGATTAATTGCTGTAGGATTTCTGCAATGGGGGTTGAACTCTGTGATGATTCTGCAATAAAATCATCACAGAGGTTGAACTCTGGGGATTGAAATATCTTTTCCAAAAATATGTGTTCAATCAAGTGACATATTTTTCTGGTTTATTAGTATCTTTTAAATTATTTTATATTATTGTGTGCCTTCAAGTCATTTCTGACTTATGAGGATCCTAAAGCAGACATATTTCATGGTTTTCTTGGCAAAATTTGTTTGGGTGAGGTTGCCTCTACCTTCCTTGGGGTTGAGTGTATGATTTGATAAAGGTGGAGAAGCAGGGACTCAAACCTTGGTCTCATAATCGTAGTCCAACACTCAGACCAATGTACTATGCTGGCTCCTAAAATTATATATTTGAGTTAAATTCACATGTATTTATCTAGCTGGTGACGTTGAAATGTCATAATTCTATATTTTCTATCTGAATTTGTAAGTTATAAATAGAATTCATTGTTCCTGGTTATTGTTTCCTAGCTTTATTAAAATTCTCAACTATTCAATGCGGTTTTAAACCATTTCTCAGAACAGGCAAGAATTACACCTTTATCAGAAAATAATTATTCAAGCTCTGCAATGACTAAACCTAAGGTGATTATGGCACCAGCGTCGATATCAAAGCTGTCAGTGAATGCACCTGAATTTTATCCTTCTGGATATACTCCTGATTTTACTGTAAGTATTTAACATATTTTCTCGCATCTGTTTTCAAGTAATTTAGGCAAACGTGGAAGAGATGTCATTGATCTTCTAAATATTACTATTTTCTCCTAGAAATTTCCTTTGTTACTGTAGAAATCTACCACCACTAGTTTAATGTGAAGATATTGCTTTCTCTTAGTCGCTTCAGAAGTGCTGTTCTTCTATAGTTTCCTTACCGTAGAATCATACAATCATAGAGCTGGAAGTAATACCAACATTCATCTAATCCAGTGGTTCTCAACCTGTGGGTCCCCAGATGTTTTGGCCTTCAACTTGCAGAAATCCTAACAGCTGGTAAACTGACTGGGATTTCTGGGATGGGTAGGCCAAGACACCTGGGGACCCACAGGTTGAGAACCACTGATGTAGTCTAACCTCCTGCCAGTGCAGTAATCCATAGCTAAACATCCCTGAAGGATGGTAATTCAACTTCTGTTTAAAAACTTCAAATGAATAGGATTCTAATTTTTCCACTGTGGTACAGTTCTTCTACTCATGAAATGGCTCCTAATGTTTAAGTCAGAATATCTTTTCTTGTAATTTGAATCCTGTTTATTTGGGACTTTCTCTGTGGAGCAACAGGGGAGATAGGTTGTTTTACGGTATCTTCCATGATTATATTTTAGCTAAGTCACCTAGCCTGTTGAAGAATTGTATTAAAAACAACAATATCTGTTGTTGTATAGAGTTGTGCAGTTTTTAAACCACAGGTATCTGGCATGTGTCGATAAGAAAACGGCACTGTAGTGATATCTATTGTGGTTTGGCCCTTAGATTTCCCATATGTACAATGTAAAATGTCACAAATGACGGTTTTTAAGCTTGTTGCCCTTATTTATTTTCAGGATTCTTCTTCAGAAGACGGGAATGGTGGATATTCAACGCTCACGGAATATGTGCAAGACTTTCTAAACCACCTTGCAGAACAGCCAGCTTGTTTTGAAACTGAAATAGCACATTTTTCAGAAACTCTAAATGCTTCTGTTACTACAGATGAAGCATTGCAAGAACTGGTTGAACTCATATACCAACAGGTAACTTCATGCATCTGTGCATGAGTATAATTGACAGGTGAACATTACATCTATATGAAAACAATTGTGACTTTCTAATACCTTAATTGAATTTAGCAGTGCATTCCTTTAAACTGAACAGAAGACTGAACCATCAGAGTTTTCAAGGATTGGGATGTTAATTGTTTGCACTGGGAATGTGGCTTTTCATATAACTTTAAAGAAGTAGTAGTAGTAAAAAAAAAAACCCTTTGAACACTAGCCTGCAAAGCATTTGCCCTCACTTTATCTGTCTTCAATTTGAAATTAACTTCTTAAACTGAAGTTAACCTATGAGAACATCCTGTTTTCCCTCTTCTTACTTGGGAAGGCAAAAGTAATCCAAATATTGTACGCTAGTTCCTCCAAGAGGAAGCAGGATCCAGTACTAGTACTTACATCCTTTCCCAAGAAGATATGACTATGAAAGCTTAGGGGGGGGGGGGGGAAGCCATTTTTTACTGTGCGAGCCTTCCATTTTTTCCATTAAAAATTAAAAACTACAAGAGCGATCTCCTTGAATTTTCTATACAATGACACAAGATAACGGGATCACCCCCCCCCCCACTTTCAGAAATATTCATACAGTTTCCACAAAAACGTGGGGTTTTTTGAAGCCACAACAGCTATCTTACTAAACGTTTCTCATATTAACCAATAGAACTTCCATTTAGGGATTTCTTCCTAGCTCAGTACTGAGATTTACTTACTAGAAGTATCAACCAGTCCTCCTCTTTGCAGATTCAACAATTCATTGGAACACTGGCTGGCTGCTGCTATGGAGGGATAAATCTCTCCCCTATCCTGCTTGGGGCTTTCTGATACTGAGCAGAATTCTGGAAAATGTAGTTTAGGGTAGGGCCTTTTGAGTTTTCTGACATAGGGCTCCTCGATTTGCAAGAATTATGTGCTTTCTCAGTCTCTTTCCTAGTGAACTCTGTTTTCTCCCGGCTTCTTCCCTCAATCGCTAGAGGCCATTAATTTAAAGAGGAAAGGAAGCCTTTTGGCTTGCTTTGCTTCCTTATGCTGAAAATGAAACTGACTTTAGGAAGCTTCCAAGATTTATAAAATCAAAGTATTGGGCACATTTAGATACTTAAGTTTTTGTCGCGGCCCATGCCCACACGTCAGGTATCACGTTGTAAGTACAAATTTAACAAATTTAATATAACTTACGACGACTAATGAAAAAACTGTAAGCCCCAATTAGACATCTTTAGTGATTTATAAATGTTTTACTTGTTGCAAACTTTCCAGAGTCTTGAGATCCTTAGATCAGGATTTCTTTTGCTCCCACCACTGGTTGTATGCAGAAGATCGCTTCTGCATACAACCAGTGCTGCTCCCACCCTGTGGTCTTCCCTTTATCAAGGGGCTAGGATAGAATCCCTTCTGTCCTATGGCTCAGATCCAGGCTATTTGGCAGATCATATATCCTGGCACGAACCTGCCCAAATCATGCGATCCTCGGGAGAGGCATTCTCTTGGTGGGAACACAAGAGAGGGCCTTCTTGATGGTTGCCCCGCAACTCAAGAACTCCCTGCCCAGGGAAGTCAGAATGCCCACCTTCCTGCTGTACTTCTGTCAGCAGGCTAAAACCTTTTTATTCAGGAAATCATTTAAAGAATAAAGTTGTCAAGACCGAACTTGGGGTGCTGCTTTATCTTTTTATTGGTTTTAACTGTGTATTCTTAATAAATTGTGTATTTGATTCTATTTTAATGTTTTTATGCTTTTGGCTTTAATTTACATATTGCGTGATTTTTAGTGTTATCCACTTTGAGTTTCCTTTGGGCGAGAAGAAGCAGGATATAGATAATGGTGATTCTACTTTACTTGATAGGCAAAAAGTTTTATTGTTCAACTAGCTTTTTAAAAGTAATTGCTTGCTCATAAATGGCCTTTTATGGCAGATGTATGCTCCCTTGTAACTTGGTTATGATTTTATTCCTTTTCAAAGTTTTAATGGTTTTACTGTGATTCAAACTGTGCTTTCATTTTACTTTTTATGTTTTAAAATTATTATGTTTTCAACTTTGCAAGCTGCCTTGGTTCCCATGTTGGGGGAAAGGACAGTGTTTAAGTGGAATAAATAATTAAGAATTATATCTGTGACTGTAGAGATGAGACACATGTTTTGTTCTTTGGCCTCGTCAGATAACATTGGGCCCTTGGCAGGGGTTTAATTCCACCATGCTCTGTGGATACGAAAATCTTGGAGTGCTCAGGTCCCATTATATACAGTGGCATAGTAAAATGGTGTCCCTTTCTGCAAAATGGCAAAATTATGTTTTGTTGTATGGATTGTTGTTGTTGTTGTTGAGCATTTCCAAGCTGTGGATGGTTGAATCTCTGGCTGCAGAATCTGTGGATACAGAAGTCCAACTGTATATTTTAAAAATATCCTTTCTAGTAAAGCAGCCCATCATGATCAGTAATCAGAAGGGTATATCACAGGATTACTGCTTACATAATGACTCCATCCTCGCATTTCCATCTTGTAACCAGAGTTTGTTGTGAAGTCCCAAATGGTATTATTTCTTGATGATAAGAACAACCTTTAAATGATTCATCTGATTATGTTTAGATCAGTGTGGAAGTGAAAGAGGGAAGCTGTGGAAGGAAAAGAAACTGTATATGAGCCCATGACTTGTTTAAAATGGCTTAGAATTTGACTAATTTGAGCCACAATCATGCACACTTAAATCCTGCTTAAAATCCTGCTTAAAATGAGCAAAAATGCTGCCATGTTCCTAAGGACACTCTTGAAAAAAATCTAAATGTTATGCATTTAAGTTTTACAAGGTCTGTGAGAAAACTAGGACCTAGGTATTCTATTTGTGTCCTTTTAATTAATGCCAACTTTGCTCCTTCACTAAAGATTTCCAGAAACAACTGTCTCCGTATTCACTCTCCTTTCCCCTTTTCCATTCATAAAGGTTAGCACTTATGTGGTTTTGTGATTTGAGAAAGAAAGAGATATTTCAGAGGGCAAAATTATATTCTAAATAGCTTAAATAGAAGGAAAACGATGCAAGCTTAATTAATGTATTCACCCAAAGGAATCTTCCTCGTCTGAAGAAACTGTAGATCTGTTTTAATCAACAGGTTGGCATTGGAAAATAACAGTTGTATGTGCCATTTTAAAAAATAAATTAGATTAGTACTTTTTTTTAGGAGGGAACTAAGTTTCTAGGAAAATAGCACAGAGATTCTATCTTGCAAGCTCTAACTCTCTTTCCAGGAAATAAACAGCTACAGCTTGCAAGACAGAATCACACTGCTATTTTCTTGACACTTGATATTCTTGACCTGATGTTGTGCCCATGAAATTATATCTATGGAAAAACTTGGAGGAGGCCTTAGACATCTTTGTTCCATGCCTCTCCTTTCACAAGGAGATATGAATAGATAATCTAACCCAGGGGTTCTCAGACTTTTAAAGCTGCAGAGCCCTTTTTTGAAGGAAAAGTTTCTCTTGGAACCCCAAGAAATTTTTGGACATGGGCCGCATTGCATTTTAAAATTTGACAGATGGGCTGAACCAGTGGCAAATGGATGGAAAATGTTTGTTTGAATTGGGTTGATGTGAGTTTTCCGGGCTTTATGGCTATGTTCTAGAAGCATTTTCTCCTGACATTTTGCCCACGTCCTCTGAGGATGCCTGCCATAGGTGTAGGCAAAACATCAGGAGAAAATGCTTCTGGAACATGGCCATACAGCCCGGAAAACTCACCTCAACCCAGTGATTCTGGCCATGAAAGCCTTCGACAGCACTTTGTGTGAACTAATTTTTAAAAATTGAACTAATTTTGTGGACACTGCACATATGTTTATTTGTAGTGCATAAAAACAGAAAGAAAGAATAATGTAATATTTAAAATGAAAAACAATTTTAACCGACATAAACTTAACAGTATTTCAGTGGGAGACCCCAGGGGCCGCCTGGTCCAACTTGTTCCTGCCATGAAGTAAAAGCACAAATCAAATCACTCCCAACAGATGACCATCCAGTCTTTGAAATAATACTAACAATAATAAGCATCATTATCATCATCATAGGAGCAACCCAGAGGTCATGCAGTCCAACCTGCTTCTGCCTTGCAGTAAAAGCACATTCAAAGTGGTGGCAGGAAAGCCTTGCAGGCTCGATGGGGCTCCAGAAGCCATTTGCTTCCTAGGCAGAGGGGAATGGGGGCCCTACAGGGACCCTGCAGAGCCCATAACTGTGCTTCGCGGAGCTCTAAGGGCTCCATGGAACATAGTTTGAGAACTGCTGCCTTCCTTACTCTGAGCGAAACCTCTTGCTTAATTGCTGCTTACCTAAAAGAGAGACAGAGTTCATAGGCCAGGTGCTTGCTCGAAGCCCCATTTTCCCAAAGGATATACTCCTAATAGATTTCCTGTGAGCTCCATCCTTGTTCTTCTTCAAATATCTTGTGGTGGGAGTCTACCTCCAGCAATAAGCATTCAAAGGACTTGGATTGTATGTTTTATTTGCATATTTTGCTGCCTTGGGCATTAGACACAATGGGCTTGCTAATTCTGTAGGAGTTCAGTTCTGGGACACTATATGAATACAAAAAACATAGATTTTACTCCCCATATTATTGGATACTAGTGACTTGAACATGCATGCTTCAGCCATGTAATAATATGGTATGTGATGAAATTGTAGATATGGAGAGCCCACTGTATACATTTAAATAAAAGTTGAGTTTCCTGACCCTTTAGTGGAGGGCTGTTGGTGGGCTGTTATGAAATCTTTAAAAGCAGGTTAGTGCATCATCAAAGGTTATTCAATTGAAATTCTAGTAGTGCATTCCAGGAGAAGGTTTCACAAAAGTCCAACTTTTCCCACAAAACATAGTGTTGGTTTTTTTAAAAAAAATCTTACAAATAAAATTGTTCTTTTGTTTTAAGGCTACATCTGTTCCAAATTTTTCATATATGGGTGCAAGGCTGTGCAATTACCTCTCTCATCATCTCACCATTAATTCACAATGTGGTAACTTCAGACAGTTATTACTTCTCAGGTGAGTATATTTTGCACAGCATGATCAAAATACTTGGGGGGGGGGGCATGTGGAGGGTTGTGGCTTTGCTTAAATAGATGAAGAACTGAATTAGGAAGAACTTCCTGACTGTGAGAGCCGTTCAGCAGTGGAACTCTCTGCCCCGGAGTGTGATGGAGGCTCCTTCTTTGGAAGCTTTTAAGCAGAGGCTGGATGGCCATTTGTCAGGGGTGATTTGAATGCAATATTCCTGCTTCTTGGCAGGGGGTTGGACTGGATGGCCCATGAGGTCTCTTCCAACTCTTTGATTCTATGATTCTATGATTTCAAGAAAGATTTCCCAACAGATAATACAATAGTTTTTTTATGCTCTCTTTTTGGTCACTTTACATCCAAGGGATTTTTTTAGGCTTGATGATTAAAAAAAAAAAGAAAAAGAAAGAAACATCTTATTTCTGCTTGTGTTCTGGTGTTTTGTCTTGAATGTTACAGTAAAGAATTTTCCCAATTTTCCCTGGTGCTGATAGCAGTACAAGTGGTGTCAAATTGGGGCAGCTCTCCGCCAGTCTGCAGTTCTCCCCCCACCCCCCACCCCCAATAGCAAAAATTTTGAATAGTCACTTAATAGGCTAGATCATGAACAGCTGCATTCATGGCATGAAACACAAGGATAAGTAATTAATTTTCCATGAATCAAACCATCTTTTGCCTTAGTATCTATTTATAACTCTATTTTTTTTACTCAGTATCTTTATCTTGATTATTGCTTTTAATAGCAAAAACTGATAAACATCAAATTATGGAAAAGCAAAACCATGATGCAAGTTTTCCTTTTTAGGTGCCACAAAGAGTTTGAAAATAAAAATGAAGCTGCAAAGGGAGATGAAGCTGCACGAAAAAGATTCCATGCATTTGTGCTATTTTTAGCTGAACTTTATTTAAATCTAGAGGTAAAAACATTTTTATCTTAGTTAGAAACATTTTTTAATTCATAATAATCAGAAATTGAATGAGGAAGGTGGCATCAGAGTACACTTGTAACATGTATCCAACCCCAAGAATGTTTGGAGCATGACAGATGTCTAAGGGAAGAGCATTAAATGTAATAGGTGCCACCACATTAAATGCCCTGCTTTGAACAGCTGCCAAGCACACTGTAGGAGCTTGTAGCACTAACAGGAAGGTTTCTCCAGATTACCTCAAAAACTGAGTAGATCTCTAAAAAAGCGTATGACATCTCAGATAGCTTAGTTTGTGTCTTTACAAACAATAAAGCATTAAGCCTGGCTTATTAGCAACTAGGCAGCCAGCATAACTCTTTCAGCAGAGGTGTTATGCTGTTGATAGTTTGTCCTGTTCCGAAATCTAGCTGAAGTATTCCTAACCAGCCATCGTTTCCACGTCAGCCTTCAGGGCAGCCTCTCATAGAGTGACTCAGCAGTAGTCCAGCCTTCAGATTGCCAGTGTCTGGAGCTCTGCAACCAGACGTAATTCTTATCAAAGAACAGCCACAATTGGTGTACCAGCCAAAGCTGAGAAAAGCAGTCTGAGCCACTGAAATCACTCAGAATCATCAGATGTGCGGCAGTATTCAAATAAATATGGTATAATCCAGTGTTTATTAAGTTACTTTGTGTGACAGACTTGCATGGTTAATTTCCCAGTGAGACAGAGGCCAGCACCATATTTGTGTCCATTGACTGTAAGTTCATTTTTGCTTTTCTGGAAGCTTGCCATGGAGCTGCACTGGTCTATGGACTTCTACTTTGTGTAGCACTGGAATAGACCAGTTAGGCTTAAATCCGGTTGCTAATCCCAGCTAGAGTAGGCTCACTGAATTGGTAAGGTTTATGTAAATGATACACTGATTTAGTGGGTTTGCTGTAGTTGTGAAACATTATTAGACCAAGGCCTTACTCTTTTACTTTTTAATGTGCAACAAAACTGCTGTAGTGGATTAAGATGATTATGCTTATTTTTATGCTCTGTAATGTTTTTCGTTACATGTTTGTCTGCCCCTTTGAGTTTCGATTAGGAGAAAAGCTGGATAAAAATAAAATTAATAAGAGCTGTTTCCAAACTAAAATTCCTAAAATGCCCATAGCTTTCTATTGTATCCTGTTACATGGTAGACTAATATATTTTCTGTGTGCAGTTTGGTTAATATGGGGAACTACAATTCCAGATACATGTTTTCATAACTTCCAATATTTTTAAGTTCACACGGCAGTGGTTCCAAAGGTGACAAGACTAATCTTAGCATCTTGTAACTGTTCACATTTTTATATATTTATAGATTAAAGGAAGTAATGGCCAGCTAACCCGGGCAGATATTCTTCAGACTGGACTTCAAGAATTATTACACACCCTGTTTTCTAATCCTGTGGACAACAATTTAATATGTGCAGTAAAGCTACTAAAAGTATGACATTTTTATTATTTGGAATTTCATTCATTTTTGAAAATGATTACTTTACACAGATGTTTGAGTTTTGCACACTTAGAAGAGTATATAAAAGGTGAATTTGGATGAACAATCTTGGTTAAGATCATCAGTCATTCATAAAGTTAATGTATAGATATGCCACAATCTCTGACTAAGCTACTTCATTTGATGGTTGTGAAGATGCAAAAGGTTAATCCATCATATACCACCTTCTACTTTCCTTGAGAAAAGTGTAAAATAAAAGAACTATTTATACTATGTATGCAGAACCCATCATGCGACCTGTGGGGCTTGATGAATCCAAGGCTGGACTTAAAATTGCTAGAAGAAACATTAAGAACCTTACATATTCAGGTGATACCACTTTGATGGCTGAAAGTGAGGAGGAGCTGAGGAACCTTATAACCAAGGGGAAAGAAGAAAGTGAAAAATCTGGGTTGCAGTTAAACATTAAAAAAACAAGATTATGGCAACCAGACTGTTTGATAACTGGCAAATAGAGGGAGAATATGTGAAGGCAGTGATAGACTTTGTATTTCTAGGTGCAAAGATTACTGTAGACACAAACTGCAGTCAGGAAATCAGACGATGTTTACGTCTTGGATGGAGAGTAATGACCAACCTCAATAAAATAGTGACGAGTAGAGACATCACACTGGCAACAAAGATCTGGATAGTTAAAGCAATGGTATTCCCTGTAGTAATCTATGGATGCGAGAGCTGGACCATAAGGAAGGCTGAGCGAAGGATGATAGATGTTTTTGAACTGTGGTGTTGAAGGAAAATTCTGAGAGTGCCTTGGACCAAAAGAAGATCAAACCAGTCCATACTTCAGGAAATAAAGCCTGACTGCTCATTGGAGGGGAGGATATTAGAGGCAAAGATGAAGTACTTTGGCCGCATAATGAGAAGACAGGAAAGCTTGGAGGACAGTGATGCTGGGGAAAATGGAAAGAAAAAGGAAGAGGGACTGACCAAAAGCAAGATGGACGGAGGTTATCCTTAAAGTAACTGGCTTGACCTTGAAGGAGCTGGGGATGGTGACGGCTGGCAGAAGAGCTCTGGCGTAGGTTGGTCCATGAGGTCACAAAGAGTCAGAAACGGCTGAACGATTAAACAACATTTATGCTATATTAAATTGGACTTCAGGCATTCCATGAATGGAAGGCACTTATTGTTTTCTCATCCAGTACCGTGATACCTTAAAAGGGAAGTTTAAGAGTAAAATATTGTCCATATTTATTAGGAAATAAACCTTTAAACTTAAAACGTGTCTAGTAATTATGCATAGTTGGTCACTTCTTCAATTAAATACAACACTTTTTTTCCAAGCCCCCTTCCCCCCAAAAAACCAGCATTTTAACCCAGTTCTTTGTGAATTTAGCATATCTGGCAAGCCATTGACAAATGTAGACGCTTAAAGCATGATTATTATTTTTAAGAAATATTAATTGTAAATGCTATATAGCTTTTCTGACTGAAATATATCCATGTGTAACCTATTTAATTGACATCTTCACAGGTATTTATTTAAAGATTTAAAGAGTAAAAGGTTTTATGCAGGAAATTGGTCGCTGTGTAGTATGTGACATAAATTTTGCAAGTGTATCTGAGCCACATTTACTTTTCATGGATAAATAATATATTATTAATAAAAAACATGTGCTCTTCATATGTCACCACTCAGTTCACAGGACCTTGTAGACCTTTTCACTCCTCATTGACTTTTCTAAATTTTGTTGAAATATAGAACTGGAAAAGGTTTTAATTGGCATTGCTGTACACAATGTCCACAAGAAGCTCAACACTGTGAAAGTGCTACATACTTTTGTTGTGAATCAAAAGCTAAGCACATAAACCAAACTGGTACTTGTTTGGTGCATAGTACTCGCCCCACTGAACCACTGCTTGGAAGAATCACAGTAAAGGGAGTGAATTCTTATTTAACCTACAATTGCCAGTGTTTGTGTCAACAGTTTTTGACTGCTGCACAGTGTTGAGTATCATATAAACATCAAGAGTTAACAATGCCAAATTCATCCATCTCAGTTCTGGGTTTATAAAAAATGTGACTAGTTCATAGAATTGGAGTGTGTGTGAATATTTGTGCTTCACATTAGAGAAATACATTTCTTTAGAGTTAGTGAGAAAATGCTTTTGAAACAGGTTGAGCACACAACCAATGATGTAGAAATTTTTACTGACTTTTGAAATCACTTTTGAAAATGCCTTTGCTAATAGCATGCCTTCCCCAGTTGACAGGTTCTGTGCTTGAAGATGCATGGAAAGAAAAAGGGACAAGTCATATGGATGAAATTATACAGAAAATTGAAAATGTTGTCTTGGATGCAAATTGCAGCAGGTAGTAATAAAATCCAAGTGGCCTTTTTTAAACCTTTTACTTTTGTATGTTAAGAATCCCCTGCTATTTCTTAAGAGGTAGCAAAACGGTGGTTTATAAAGCTTTCTGCACTAATCTTTAGTTAAAGATTGGTGTTGTGATGTTTGTTATGTTTAATGATATTGCCAAGTATAATTCAGTCTTGTATTGCTTCTCTGCCTGGTTTATGACTGTTCATTTTACATTATAACAAGTATGTTCGGGGATCCTACAGGAAATAATTGACTTCTAGACAGCCTAGAATAGTTCTCTATAATATCTCCCATCATTTAGAGACCCATTTGGCAAAGATTAATTTGGCATAGTCAGTGTAAAAAAAGCAGTTGATACTTTTGGAATAAAGCAGTATGAAATAAGCAAGCAAATGTTGGGGTGGACAGGACTAATTCTTTTTTGGTACATGAAAGATAACAGACCACACCAGTTTGTAAGGTCCGCTATAGGGTATCCCATGGAATAACTCAATAGGCCGGAGCCCTTGTGCTGGCCAAAAGTTTGGCGGTTCGAATCCGGGGAGTGGGGTGAGCCCCCTTCTGTCAGCTCTAGCTTCTCATGCGGGGACATGAGGGAAGCCTCTCACAGGATTGTAAAGCATCCAGCCGTCCCCTGGGCAACGGCCGCCAATTCTCTCATACCAGAAGTGACTTGCTGTTTCTCAAGTTGCTCCTGACACGGAAAAAAACCACACGAACTCAATAGACCTCCATTAAAAAATAAAGCCAACTTGAAATCAATGTAGATGTACTGTTCTACTGCACTGCATTTTATAGCTGTTTTTATTGTACGGTTACATTGTTATTGTTTTTGTTATACCTATATATTTATCCCACTTTTTTCAACACAGCTGAAAACAGTTAAAACAAACGTAGCTAAAAGTAAACCACATACAAAAAGTTTTAACTGTTGTTCGGCTATCACAAATAAAAACCTATTAAACATAAACCATTACAAACAAAACAGCAAATTTTTAAAAACCAAGCACATTATGAAAGGCCCAGCCTTCCAAGGCCTGCCAAAATTAAAAGAAATAATATTGTCCTGCCTGTGAAAAGATAGCAAGAAAAATTCCAGTTTGACTTCTCTGGGAAGAGAGTTTCAATTATTACCATTTTTGGAATTATGTGAGTGTGTGTGTGTATTCACTTTGTAAATTGTAGAATACATTGTTATGCACAGATGAAGCATATTTGTTTTGCTATCTTTGTTAACAACCCGACTGTTATATTCTGAGCAACCTTGGGGTTTCCAAACACATTTCAATTAATTGGGGATATTCATCCTTTAACTTTGGAGAAGGACAGGAAATAAATCTAAAGAGCAGTAGCTGGTAAATGCAAACGCTGAAGTGTCTCTGTGTCTTATTTACTATATATACATGTTGCTAAGTTACATCTATATCAATTACATGATAATAGTGACCTCATTTTAAAATCATAAGAAAAATGTGAATGATTATTGCTTCTAAGTTAATTCCCTTTGACAATGAGTTTGTTTTTGTATTTCGTTTACTAACAACTATGAATGAATTACAAACGTATAGCAAAAGTAGTTTTTATTCCTTCCTTCGATCAGTTTTGATTGCAATTAGTTTGAATACATTTCCCCTTAGTGCTGGAAACATTGGTTTTTATTTTGTATTTTTTTCTCTGTTTCAGAGATGTAAAGCATATGCTTCTGAAACTAGTAGAACTCCGGTCAAGTAACTGGGGAAGGGTACATATAGCTTCAACATACAGGGAAGCAACTCCAGAAAATGATCCCAACTATTTTATGGTAATACTTTTAGATAGATTTTATCAGAATATACATGAGTGATAAGCTTGAGAACTTAGTGGAAACTTATAAATAGTTGTGTTTTAAATTTTAGAATGAACCAACATTTTACACATCAGAAGGCGTGCCATTCACGGCAGCAGATCCAGGTATGCCAGTGTTTCATTTTTGTCTGGGTTTTTAATCAGAAAATATCTGTAGCTTGAAGTGCTAATTACCGTATATACCAGGCATGGGCAAACTTTAGCCCTCCAGATATTTGGACTTCAACTTCTACAACCAGCTGTTTGGAATTGTGGGAGTTGAAATCCAAAACACCCGGAGGGCCGAAGTTTGCCCATGACTGGTATATACGGTAAGCTAAATATTAGCAGTTGCTTTTTATACTTTTTGCAGAGTTTAAATGGTTTGTCAAGGAATGCTGTAATGGGAAGATCCTTTGGATACTTTACTATATCCATGATAGAACAGACTAGCAAGAGAAGCTTAGAGGGAATTGTCTATGGGATACGCAGAGTTCTTAATAAGTAATGATGATGAAATGGAGTGAAAAATGATACATGATAACCATGAAGCTTCCAGCTTACATTGTTTTGTTGCGAGCATGCATTGGCATATTGTTGTGTTTATTATGGTTATTTTAAATAAAATGAACTTGGAAGAGCAGTCTTAATTTTTTTAATATCACTGTCCTAGACTATCAGGAGAAATATCAAGAACTCCTTGACAGGCAGGATTTGTTTCATGGATGTGAAGAAAATGGAACAGATTTGTCAGGAACTGGAGACTTGTAAGTTCCGCTTTTCATAGCTGTATCATACCTTCAGTCTGATAGTTAGAAGTACTTTGTTAGGCACTGCTTTTCAAGAGCCATACTTAAAATAATGTGCGACTTATATTTTTAAAAAGTACTATTCATTTCTGATATGTCTATCATCTTACATTTTTGCCTCATTGTTTACTTTGTTATGACATCAAACTATAGCAAATGTAAATAATGACTAATAATGATTCAGACCCTTGCACAAAAATAATGCTGACTTTAAAAATATTCTCTGAACAGCTGGCCTTTTAGTGCAGTATCTCTTCTGTTTCCAGAATTACTGTTTGTACAATAGACTTGCGCCCAAACCGCTGTTAACAAAAAGATTTGTATTTTTCGAAGGGCTGTTTTTGTTTAATTTCCGAAAACAGAAAGGGGAAGAGAGAGATGAAAAGACCAGCGAAACGGATTCAGAGAGACAATATTTTCGGAAAGAATTAAATCCACAAAATACCTGAGGCAGGGTATTTTTTCCTTTTTTTCTCCTGGGCAGAAGAAGCCTCCTCCATTTTTCCTTGGAAAGTTACCTCCTCCAAAGAGGGCCCTGGGAACTTGCTTTTCCAGTGGCACTAGCATAGGGTGGCCATTGAAAGTTCCTCTCGGAGCATGATGGGAGTTGAAGTTTTTCTCTTACCTCTGTGTCTCTCAACCAGTAAAAAGCCTGGTGGTGTCCATGATGTTCCTTATCAGGATAATCTGGTCTTTTAATGCTCCAGACATCGTGCTTTTTGGCTAAACAAAATCAGATACAAAACACAATAACAGATTTTATGATTCCTGAGGTAATAAAGTGACTTAGCATCTGTAAAGGATACTAATACCACTTTTTCCCAAACCTTTCCATTTTTTCTGGGGGGAGAAATGAGAAGAATAGTTTTAATTTTTTCCATAGCTTCAGAATTTTCAGAAATTTTATGTCTCATGTCATATTCCATATTCATGTAGGGGTCCATGTTTTCATATTGGTATTTTCATATTGGAGGTCCATATTCATGTAGGGGTCCATGTTTTCATATTGGTATTTTCTCTTACCTCAGAGATTGGTGTGTGTGTGTGTGTGTATCTATCTATCTATCTATATATGGCAAAATAAGAAACTAACAGATGAATTTATTACAGATATTTTGACGACGACGACGATGATGATGAGATGGACCCAGAAATTGAAGAAGCATATGAAAAGTTTTGCTTAGAATCAGAACGGAAGCGGAAACAATGAAACACTGCACATAATTATTAATGTTTGTGTTTTTTAAGGAAACCAGCATAGGTGTGAATAGCAAGTAGAAGGGAAGAAAAATCCTGTTCCAAGTAAAGCAAATTAAGTTTTTCCAAGTTATGCAATTATCATTTTGTTAAAAATCTGCCAAAAAATGTAAACAAATTCTGTAACTTAAAAACAATGTGTATATATCATAGTTTATTTTCTGTACAGTTAAATAAACCATGCTTAGATTTGAATTTTTTTTTTGTTTGAAACATGCCTGAAATCTACAAATGTGAGGGCTGTTTTAAAGGTTCCTTTTTTCTTTTTTTGCTGAAAGTAAAACCCTTGAAACCATAAAGTAAATTTTGAATTTGTGGAATCAAATTGTACTATCTCTCCATGTGGTACGTATTTTAAATTTATGGGACTATCAAATACATTTTTAATTGTTTTACAATCATGAACACGAACAACCTACTTCATAAGGAAATTGAGAGCTCCCCATTTTCATGGTTTAAAGCAGCCTTTCCAAGACTTAAGTTCAAAATGCTGCCATACAACTAGCTTCATCACTTATCATTGGTCTTTTTGGCTGGAGAAGATGGGAGTTGTATTCCAAAATCTAGAGACTTTAGTTTTAGGCAAACTGGTTTTAGAGAATTCAGAACCGTCTGCCTCAAAGGAGCCATTCTCTGTTAATTTCCCCTCTTCAAAAATACATTACATTGCTTTTAGTTAGAAGTGGCACAAACATCTACTTCCAAAATGCAAATACCGCATTGTAATCAACACAGCATTTCTGTTGCTCTTAATTTTAGTTAATTTAGATTTATTATACAGTCACAACAAGGAATAAAGCAGTTCCATGCTGCAGAAAACAACGCATTTTGAATGAGTCTGTTGGTCACTGTATTTTTGCTTGTAATCATCCGTTTTCGTCTCTGTAAAAATTATCCCAGGAGACTTCTAAATTTTTTGTCCCTCGTTACATTGAATAGATGAAGTAGAGTCTATTTCCTAACACCAACTGTGTGTGTAGACCTTTCCAAGAAGTAGGTTAAATAACATATACAGGGTGAGGCAGCATCACTTCCTTTTTTCAAAACTTAATAAAACCCATTGTATGAATCAGGAAAAAAAATTATATAATGGAGGCGCATACCTAAAGTTTTGTTTTACGTAGTTTTGAAGATCAAATTAGGTAGGTTACGTCCCCCAATCTCCATACACTGAGTAAACTGATTTCTGGCGTTTGACATTACTCTGGCCAGCATAGCAGGCGTTATGTTGGAAATTTCTTCCTGGATGTTGGTCTTCAAATCTTGCAGGGTCCTTGGACAGTTCACATAAACACGGGATTTCAAAAAAACCCATAGAAAAAATATCACAAGGGGCCAAATTTGGAGAGCGGGCCGGCCACTCCAAATCCGCTTGAAAAGTAGGCCTCAACGGCCAAAGCACGCTCCTCACTGTTCCAACGCATGATGGTGACTGAACTGTGTCAGGACAAAACTTTATACTCCCGCCTCTCGAATGAGATCACTAGTGCTTCGCTATGTCTTCCGCTACGTCTTCAACCGACATTTTAAAAAAGAAAGTTATGCTGCCTCACCCTGTATAAAGACAGAAGAGGTTGTAAATATGCATGTAAATAGTGCTGTTTAATATTGCACTGTTAAAACTTGGTACAATTTGTGACTGTTAATGCAGCTAGCATCTACTATATCTGGTTCTTCCATTTCTTTAGTTAACATATTTTGAAAAAAAAATAAACTGCTTGTTTTATTGGGTATGTTTTGGTCTTCCTGTTTGTGCTCTTCTATTCTTAACACAGAATCTTCTCAAAGTTTCCTTTCTTTGCTTTCATGCTAAGTTGGCCTCTCCATACATGCTGGCAAGTGCTTCCTTAACATTTCATTTTCATTATTATTTTTAACTTGAATAGATAACACTGCAATTAATATGCAGCGGTGTACTGTTTAATATGAGGCATACTGTTTAGGGCCCCCTGGTGGTGCAGCAGGTTAAACCGCTGAGCTGTTGAACTTGCTGATCAAAAGACTGGCGGTTCAAATCCAGGGAGCGGGGTGAGCTGCCGTTGTTAGCCCCATCTTCTGCCAACCTAAAAGTTTGAATACATGCAAATGGGATTAGATCAATAGGTCCCACTTCTGCAGGAAGGTAAGGGCGCTCCAGGCAGTTATGCTAGCCACATGAATTTGGAGGCGTCTATGAACACCTATGAACACCACCCTCCAGAGTCAGATACAACTAGACTTAATGTCAAGGGAAACCTTTACCTTTACTTTTTTTTACTATTTAGTAAATGAAAACAATATCGCAGAACAATCTTTTGCAGTACCTATTTGAGGATGTGTTATGGCCGTTCTCATTCTTCACACAATTGCATCCCTCCTGATACAACCTCATACATACATACATACATACATACATACATACATACATACATACATATTTATTTATTTGTTTATTTGTTTATTTATTTACAGCTTTTATATTCTGCCCATCTCACCCCGCAGGGGACTCAGGGCAGATTACAGTGTACACATATATGGCAAACATTCAATGCCAATTTTAACATACAACATATACAGACATACACAGAGGCTATTTAACTTTTTCTGGCCGCCGGGGAGCTGTCGCTTTCATCGTCCATCTGCGACACTGATGAAGTACTTCCGCATTCCCCGCATGCTTTTTTCCTGGAGTGCTTTGCTGGAGTTTTTTTACGGCCTCATAAATTAGTTAATTTAGCCTCCCCACACTTTAAGGTTGATTTTTTTTCCAGTCTGATGGCCATTCTTGTGTTTTCCATATTTGCTGGCAAATGGCATGCATCACCTTGACAGCATCATCTTTTAAGATTTTAAACAGTTCAGCTGGGATCCCGTCGTCTCCTGCTGCCTTGTTGTTAGCAATGCTTCTTAAGGCCCATTCAACCTCACTCTCAGGATGTCTGGTTCTAATTCATTCACTACACTGTCAAAACTATCCTCGATATTATTATCCTTCCTATACAGATCTTCTGTATAGTCTTGCCACCTTCTCTTGATCTCTTCAGCTTCTGTTAGGTCCCTGCCATCTTTGTTTCTTATCATACCAATTTTTGCCTGAAATTTACCTCCAATGTTTCTAATTTTCTGGAAGAGGTCTCTTGTCCTCCCTATTCTGTTGTCTTCTTCCACTTCCATGCATTGCTTATTTAAAAATAGTTCCTTATCTCTTCTGGCTAACCTCTGGAATTGCGCATTTAACTGGGCATATCTCCCCTTATCCTGTTTCCTTTTGCTTTCCTCCTTTCTTGGGCTACTTCCAGTGTCTCAGCAGACAACCATTTTGCCTTCTTGGTTTTCTTTTTCTTTGGGACGTACTTTGTTGCCGCCTCCTGAACAATGTCTCGGACTTCTGTCCATAGTTCTTCTGGGACTCTGTTTACTAAATCTAGTCCTTCAAATCTGTTCTTCACTTCCACTGTATATTCGCTAGGAATGTTAGTGAGATCATATCTAACTGGTCTGTGTATTTTCCCTGATCTCTTTAGTTTTATTCTAAATTGGGCAATAAGAAGTTTGTGATCTGAGCTACAGTCAGCCCCAGGTCTTGTTTTCACCGACTGGATGGATGTCCGCCACCTTTGGCTGCAAAGGATGTAGTCAATCTGATTTCGGTGTTGACCGTCTGGTGAGGTCCATGTGTAAAGCCGCCTTTTAGGTTGTTGGAAGAGAGTATTCGTTATACACAGCGAGTTTTCCTGGCAAAATTCTATCAGCCTGCGACCCGCTTCATTTTGTTCTCCCAGACCATGCTTGCCTGTGATCCCTGTTGTCATTTGACTTCCCACCTTGGCATTCCAGTCTCCTGTAATGAAAATAATGTCTCTTTTAATCAAGGTGAAAGAAGAAAGCAGAAAAGCTGGGTTGCAGCTAAACATAAAAAAAAACCAAGATTATGGCAACACGAATGATTGACAACTGGAAAATAGAGGGAGATAATGTGGAGGCCGTGACAGACTTTGTATTTCTAGGTGCAAAGATTACTGCAGATGCAGACTGTGGCCAGGAAATCAGAAGACGCTTACTTCTTGGGAGGAGAGCAAGGTCCAATCTCGATAAAATAGTAAAGAGTAGAGACATCAGACTGGCAACAAAGATCCGCCTAGTCAAAGCCATGGTATTCCCTGTAGTAACCTACGGATGTGAGAGCTGGACCTTAGGGAAGGCTGAGCGAAGGAAGATTGATGCTTTTGAGCTGTGGTGTTGGAGGAAAGTTCTGAGAGTGCCTTGGACTGCGAGAAGATCCAACCAGTCCATCCTCCAGGAAATAAAGCCCGACTGCTCACTGGAGGGAAGGATACTAGAGACAAAGTTGAAGTACTTTGCCACATCATGAGGAGACAGCAAAGCCTAGAGAAGACAATTATGCTGGGGAAAGTGGAAGGAAAAGCAAGAGGGGCCGACCAAGGGCAAGATGGATGGATGGCATCCTTGAAGTGACTGGACTGACCTTGAAGGAGCTGGGGGTGGTAACGGCCGACAGGGAGCTCTGGCGTGGGCTGGTCCATGAGGTCACGAAGAGTCGGAGACGACTGAACGAATGAACAACAACAACACTTTAAGGTGGTACCCAATTTTCCTACTTGACAGATGCAACTGTGTTTTGGGTTGCAAAGGTCGACAACAGGCTACACAATTGGTTGGAAACCCACTCCAACCCGGGCTGGCTTTAAACTCATGACCTTTTGGTCAGAGTGATCTTAATGCAGCTGACACTCAGCCAGCTGCGCCACAATCCCAGTGCTATGTCCTCTATGGTGGGTTCTTTTGTATATTTGCAGCTGAAATCACAGCTAAGAAATATGAATCATAAACACAAAAGTTTTCTGTCCAATAATTAATCCACCAAAGCCTTTGGCCAATCAAATGTCTTGCTTAGCTTCCAATTCACTCATTGCATATTTTCTGATTCACACCTAGCTCCAACAGACAAGAGTCCTTTGTCCCACCCTGGTCATTCAACAGATATATAAACCCCTTTTTCCTAGTTCCAACAGACCTCACTACCTCTCAGGATGATCTGCTACTCAAATATTAAGAATTCAAAGGTTATAAAAACATGGTCTACTAGTATTGCAAGGGGAATCTGATTTGGGGGATGGCATAGGAGTTAAGAAAGATCTAAAGAGACTAGGGGTGCATCCACACAGCAAAATGAATGCAGCTTGACACGGTTTTTGCTGCCATGACTCCTTGATAAGGAATAATAGGAGTGGTAGTTTTACAAGGCCTTTTCCTTCTCTGCCAAAGAATACTGGTGCTTCTCCAGACTTCAAGCCAGGGCTTCATTGCATTTAGCCATGACGGTTTAGAAGTAGCGTCATATTGAATTTAATTGTACAGTGGAGATGTACTCTCAACTCATGTAGTGAATGATCCACTGTATCTTGCAATTGTGATGCCAGCCTAGAATCATGTTTATGTTCCACCAGCAGACTGCAAAGGTGTCATTAACTCAAGCCACCCAAGTGAACCATTTTGGATTTTAGAGCATTAGAAAGTACAGATAAAGGTTTCTCCGCTTGTATTGCACAAGACTTCCAATTCTGAGAGGCTGTAGGATCGAGACCTATGGCAGTTGAAGAGGTCTCAAAGTGCTATTCACAGTGTAGTGTGGAAGAGATGGGAAGAGACATCTCCTAGGTCATGTAGACATGTGGAATTAATGCAATTTGACACCACTTTCACTGCCATGTCTCAGTGCTAGGGAATCCTGGGACTTGTAGTTTTTGAGGCACCATCATTTTGGCAGAGAAGGCTGAAAGAGCTTGTAAAAACTTAATTTACAAACCCCAGATTCCATAGCATTGAGTCATGGCACTTAAAGTAGTGTCAAACCGTATTACTCAGTAGAATGAATGCAGTTTGACACCACTTTATAATAATAATAATAATAATAATAATAATAATAATAATAACACTTTATTTGTACCCTGCTACCATCTCCCAAGGGACTCGGTGCGGCTTACATGAGGCCGAGCCCAAATACAACAATACAAGCAATAAAACAACAATACAAGCAATTAAAATAAAAACATAGACAATAAAATATACAACATTATCAATAAGACAACACACAATTAAAAACAGTGGGAAGGCCAAATGTAAAGTTAAAATTGGAAGTAATGCTGGGACATGGACGAAAAGGTGATAGTGGTGTTAGTGGAAGGGAATACGAGCAGACTTAAAGAAATGTAAAGTGCTTTGGAGGACAATGTGCTATGGGATCATTATTCTGGGAAGGCATACTGGGACAGCCACGTCTTCAAGCTCCTCCTGACCACCATATCTCAGTGTTAGGAATCCTGGTAGTTGTAGTTTGTTGAGGCACTATCACTGGGCAGAGAAGGCTGAAAGAGCTTGTAAAAACTTAATTTACAAACCCCAGATTCCATAGCATTGGGTCATGGTAGTGCCAAACCATATTACCCACTCAGTAGAATGAATGCAGTTTGACACCACTTTGACAACCATATCTCAGTGCTAGGGAATCCTGGGAGTTGTAGTTTTTGAGGCATCATCATTTGGCAGAGAAGGCTGAGAAGCCATTGAAATCCACAAGCATGTGGACAATTTCAACAGAAAGGAGGAAACCATGAAAATGAACAAAATCTGGCTACCAGTATTTTTTAAAAAAACTCTAAAATTAGAACAGCACAACAACAGAGAGGAAACAAACAAGGACATCTAATCACCTCTCAACAAAAGATTGCTCCAGGCACTGCCAGGCAATCAAATGCTAATCAAGGTAGTCAGTTGAAACATTCATACCTAGCTCCAATAGACAAGAGTCCTTTGTCCCACCCTGGTCATTCCACAGAGGAGGGCACTAAAATGATCAAGGGTCTGGAGAACAAACCCTATGAGGAGAGGCTTAAGGAGCTGGGCATGTTTAGCCTGAAGAAGAGAAGGCTGAGAGGAGATATGATAGCCATGTATAAATATGTGAGAGGAAGCCACAGGGAGGAGGGAGCAAGCTTGTTTTCTGCTTCCCTGGAGACTAGGACAGGGAACAATGGCTTCAAACTACAAGAGAGGAGATTCCATCTGAACATGAGGAAGAACTTCCTGACTGTGAGAGCCGTTCAGCAGTGGAACTCTCCGCCCCAGAGTGTGGTGGAGGCTCCTTCTTTGGAAGCTTTTAAACAGAGGCTGGATGGCCATCTGTCAGGGGTGATTTGAATGCAATATTCCTGCTTCTTGGCAGGGGTTGGACTGGATGGCCCATGAGGTCTCTTCCAACTCTTTGATTCTATGACATCTAATCACCTCTCAACAAAAGATTGCTCCAGGCACTGCCAGGCCATCAAATGCTAATCAAGGTAGTCAGTTGAAACATTCACACCCAGCTCCAACAGACAAGAGTCCTTTGTCCCACCCTGGTCATTCCACAGATATATAAACCCTTTTTCCTAGTTCCAACAGACCTCACTACCTCTGAGGATGCTTGCCATAGATGCAGGCGAAACGTCAGGAGAAAATGCCTCTAGAACATGGCCATATAGTCCGAAAAAACCGACAACAACCCATAGCTTGTAAAAACTTAATTTACAAACCACAGATAAGAGAGCATTGAGCCATGGCACTTAAAGTGGTGTCAAACCATGAGCAAACTTGCCCCCTCCGGGTATTTTGGACTTCGACTAAAAGCCTAGGAATTGTGGAAGTTGGAGTCCAAAACACCTGGAGGGCCCAAGTTTGCCTATGCCTGTTCTATAGTGTTTCCAGGTGCTTGGAGTGGGAGGGGGGCGTGGCTAAAGAGGGAAAGTAGGCGGGGCCTCAGCATTCCCAGGGATTGGCGGCTCACTCGGCGGCTCGACCTTGAGAACGCCCTAGCCACGCCCACTTTTCCTCATTAGCTCCGCCCCTCTGCCATTCTCCCGCGCTCTCTGGTTTGTTTACCCGCCTCTCGGCGCGCCGGTTCGAAGGTGCTCCAGAAGATCAGGTAAGACGCTTTACTCCTGATCCATTCTTTGTGCAGATTGGATTAGGCCGGGGTGTGCGTTTCCCAGCAAAGAAGGTAAAAAATGTATGTAAATAAGACCTGCAACCAAGTCAACCAAGAGACTTGGAATAGCACCAGGGCTTGTTGCTGCTGCTGCTGCTCCTATTGTGTGCCTTCTGTTTGTTTCATGGAATCCTATTGTGTCTGAGGCTGAGGGAGTGTGACCCGCCTAAGGTTACCCATTGTGTTTACATATCTGCAACCCTTTTGATTGATTGGACTGGTCTTTCATGCTTAAGGTGGGCAGCCTAAAGATCACTGTAGGTTTTTTCGGGCTATATGGCCATGTTCTAGAGGCATTCTCTCCTGACGTTTCGCCTGCATCTATGGCAAGCATCCTCAGAGGTAGTGAGGTCTGTTGGAACTAGGAAAAAGGGGTTTATATATCTGTGGAATGACCAGGACTCTTGTCTGCTGGAGCTAGGTGTGAATGTTTCAACTGACCACCTTGATTAGCATTTGATGGCCTGGAAGTGCCTGGAGCAATCTTTTGTTGAGAGGTGATCAGATGTCCCTGATTGTTTTCCCTATGCTGTTTTACTGTTTTAATTTTAGAGTTTTTTTAAATACTGGTAGCCAGATTTTGTTCATTTTCATGGTTTCCTCCTTTCTGTTGAAATTGTCCACAAGCTTGTGGATTTCAATGGCTTCTCTGTGTAGCCTGACATGGTGGTTGTGAGAATGGTCCAGCATTTCTGTGTTCTCAAATAATATGCTGTGTCCAGGTTGGTTCATCAGGTGCTCTGCTATGGCTGACTTCTCTGGTTGAAGTAGTCTTCGGTGCCTTTCATGTTCCTTGATTCGTGTTTGGGCATTGCTGCATTTGGTGGTCCCTATGTAGACTTGTCCACAGCTGCATGGAATACGGTAGACTCCTGCAGAAGCGAGAGGATCCCTCTTGTCCTTTGCTGAACGTAGCATTTGTTGAATTTTTTTGGTGGGTCTGTAGATAGTTTGTATGTTGTATGTTTGTATGTCGCTCCAGGCTCTGCCAGGCCATCAAATGCTAATCAAGGTGGTCAGTTGAAACATTCACACCTAGCTCCAGCAGACAAGAGTCCTTTGTCCCACCCTGGTCCTTCCACAGATATATAAACCCTTTTTCCTAGTTCCAACAGACCTCACTACCTCTGAGGATGCTTGCCATAGATGCAGGCGAAACGTCAGGAGAGAATGCCTCTAGAACATGGCCATATAGCCCGAAAAAAGTACAACAATCCAGTGATTCCGGCCATGAAAGCCTTCGACAATACACTGTTGTGTTTATTTCTGTTGTAATGTTTGTATATTTGTAAAAAATTTAATTGTATACTAATGCCAGCAAATATGGAAAACACAAGAATGGCCATCAGACTGGAAAAAAATCAACTTATATCCCCATTCCAAAAAAGGGAAATGCGAAAGAAGGCTCAAACTTTCATATAGTGGCCCTTATTTCTCATGCCAGTAAGGTAATGCTCAAGATCCTGCAAGGAAGACTCCAGCAACACATGGAGCGAGAGTTGCCGAATGTACAAGGCAGAGGAACGAGAGACCAAATTGCCAATAATGGAAAAAGGCAGGGAGTTTCAGAAAAACATCTATTTCTGTTTCATTGACTATTCTAAAGCCTTTGACTCTGTGGATCATAATAAATTGTGGCAAGTTCTTGGTGAGATGGACATACCAAATCACCTTATCTCTCTCTGTCTTGAGGAATCTGTACAAGGACCAAGTAGCAACAGTAAGAACTGACCAGGGAACAACAGACTGGTTCAAGATTGGGAAAGGCATACGGAAGGGTTGTATACTCTCACCCAACCTATTCAACTTGTATGCAGAACACATCATGCAATGTGCGGGGCTTGGCGAACGCAAGGCTGCGGTGAAAATTGACGGAAGAAACATTAACCTTAGATATGCAGATGATAACACTTTGATGGCTGAAAGCGAGAAGGAGCCGAGGAGCCTTCTAATTAAGGTGAAAGAAGAAAGCGCAAAAGCTGGGTTGCAGCCAAACATTAAAAAAAACCCAAGATAATGGCAACAAGAATGATTGATAACTGGGAAATAGAGGGAGAAAATGTAGAGGCAGTTACAAACTTTCTATTTCTAGGTATTCCCCATAGTCACCTACGGATGTGAGAGCTGTATCATAAGGAAGACTGAGCAAAGGAAGATATTCGCTTTTGAACTGTGGTGCTGGAGGAAAATTCTGAGAGTTCCTTGGACTGCCAGAAGATCCAACCAGCCCATACTTCAGGAAATAAAGCCCGACTGCTCATTGGAGGGAAGGATATTAGAGGCAAAGATGAAGGACTTTGGCCACATCATGAGAAGACAGGAAAGCTTGGAGAAGACAGTTATGCTGGGGGAAATAGAAGGAAAAAGGAAGAGGGGCCGACCAAGGGAAAGATGGATGGATGGTATCCTTGAAGTGACTGGATTGACCTTGAAGGAGTTGGGGATGGTGATGGCCAACAGGGAGCTCTGGCGTGGGCTGGTCCATAAGGTCACGAAGAGTCGGAAGCGACTGAACGAACCAACAACAAATAGCGGAGTAATAATAATAATAATAATAATAATAATAATAATAATAATAATGGGCTCCCCTTAGCTCGATGTTGTGGGTCACAGATAAATGGGCCACAGTAAAAGATTTCTGAATGTCAACAAGTTAATTTACATGAATGTACACATATAGTGTCTAGATCCAGGGAAGTCATGCTACCCCTCTATTTTGCCTTGGTTAGATCCCATCTGGAATACTGTGTCCAATTCTGGGCAACGCAGTTGAAGGAAAATGTTGACAAGCTGGAATGTGTCCAGAGAAGAATGACTAAAATGATCAAGGGTCTGGAAAACAAGCCCTATGAGGAGCGGCTTAAAGAGCTGTGCATGTTTAGCCTTCAGAAGATAAGGCTGAGAAGAGACATGATGGCCATGTATAAACATATGTGAGAGGAGGCCACAAGGAGGAGGGAGCAAGCATGTTTTTCTGCTTCCCTGGGGACTAGGACACGGAACAATGGCTTCAAACTACAAGAAAGGAGATTCCATCTGAACATTAGGAAGAACTTCCTGACTGTGAGAGCTGTTCAGCAGTGGAACTCTCTGCCCCAGAGTGTGGTGGAGGCACCTTCTTTGGAGGCTTTTAAACAGAGGATAAATGGCCATCTTTCGGGGGTGCTTTGAATGCAATTTTCCTGCTTCTTGGCAGGGGGTTGGACTCCTGAAAGAAAAGGGGTCTCCAGTGAAGCTTTATCAACAATTCTTGTTTCAACATCGAGCCAAGTTTTTCAAAATCCAATGATTACTGGGACAGAAAGTGAGGTGACATCTTCTGAACAGGGGCACAGACAGCAAAACAAACATCACTGGGGTCCTAACCCTTCCCTATGCTATCCAAAGCTAAATAATATATATTTTTGACTGGAATTACACTTACAGAAATGTACCTGTTTCAACTTACAAACAAATTCAAGTTAAGGACGAACCATCAGAACCTATCTTGTTCGTATCTTGGGGACTGCCCATTGTCAACGCAGTTTAACACCACTTTAACTGCCATAGCTCAAAGCTGGGGGATCATGGCAGCTGCAGTTTGGTGCGACACCAGCACTATTTGGCAAAGAAGGCTAAAGAGATCTTGTAAAAATGTGCTCTTGATGCCATAGCATGGAGCCGTGGCAGTTAAAGTGTTGTCAATATACTTAAAAACCCAGCATCCCCCACTCATACTACTTCTGCTACTAATACCTCTACTACTACTACTACTACTACTAATAATAATAATAATAATAATAATTGTTACCACTTCTCATGGCTGGAGTTGGGGTGCAACACAGCTGAAACACATCATTATAAAATACATATATTAAAGTACACCATCACTATACACACACCACATTCATACTAAAAACATGATTGTTGTTTTTTGTTGTTTTTTTGTCGTGTCAGGAACGACTTGAGAAAGTGCAAGTCGCTTCTGGTGTGATAGAATTGGCCGTCTGCAAGGACGTTGCCCAGGGGACGTCCGGATGATTTGATGTTTTTATCATCATTGTGGGAGGCTTCTCTCTTGTCCCCTCATGAGGAGCTGGAGCTGATAGAGGGAGCTCATCCGCGTCTCCCTGGATTCGAACCTGCGACCTGTCGGTCTTCAGTCCTGCCGGCACAGGGGTTTAACCCACTGCGCCACCGGGGGCTCCAAAAACATGGTACAAGGATTAAAATACAATCCAAATAACAGGACCCCATCTCTGCAAAAGATCCTAAACAATGTCTGTGCAGAAGTGATGCAGTTTTACTTCTGGCGGCCCAAAACAATGGCTAAGATGAAATATCTGTGTTGCAGCACTGAAAACTAAAAGAGCTGGAAAATTTATTTGTTTGTTGACATGGCCAAAATAAATAAATAAATCAGAAGCGAATTGAGAATACAGTTGTAATGTATAGAAAAACCACAAACAAAGTAAAAAAAAACCTTGGCATTATACTAAATATCCTTTGACCAGAAGCTGGCCACTTGGAGTGCCTCTGATGTCACTGTGCATGTGGCAGGGCTCTGGCTGCATTGTAATAGGTGTTCTGTGGTTTGCTCTTTTCCACACTTGCATGTCATGGACTCTGCTTTGTAGCCCCAATTCTTGATGTTGGTTCTGCATCTCGTGGTGCCAGAGTGCAGTCTGTTCAGCGCGTTCCAAATTGCCCAGTCTTCTGTGTGCCCACGAGGGAGTTTCTCATCTGTTATCAGCCGCTGATTGAGGTTCCGGGTTTTAGCCTGCCACTTTTGGACTCTTGCTTGCTGAGGTGTTCCTGCAAGTATCTCTGTAGATCTTAGGAAGCTATTTCTTGATTTAAAGTGTAGGCTTCCTGGTTGATATCCGAACAGAGAATGGGCTGGAGAGGTCAATGCCTTACTACATTTGTTGCAGGCTGCTACTTCCTGACAGATGTCAGGTGGTGCAATCCCAGCAGTATAATTTCTCCAGTTTATAATGTTTCCACCAGAGCTGGAAAATGAATGATGTGATTTCGGAGTTCACCTACTCCAATGCTGGGTTTGCTTAAGGGAAGGTTGTTGTTCTTCATTCGTTCAGTCATTTCTGACTCTTCGTGACCTCATGGACCAGCCCACGCCAGAGCTCCCTGTCGGCCGTCACCACCCCCAGCTCCTTCAAGGTCAATCCAATCACAGTAGTTTTAATGATTTCTTAACTTGGACACTGAGCAGATGGCCTCATCTCAAAGGTCATGAACTTCACCTGCACCACCCTGAGTTTTCAGTACACAGAACTGAATCCAAACAATACCGTTTTGCACTCTTCCAGGAAGTTAAATTTGGTTCTTAATTATGTTGGATATTCCTCACCGTCGATTGCACTATGAGTGAGTGCACAAAATTAAAGCTGGAACATGTGTGATATATCTGTACCTCATTAAATTCTCTGTTTCTTTGCAGGTTTCCCTCTGAATCGGTACCTTTTCTCTGCCACAATGGCCCCCGAGAGCCTCATGATCCTCTACGAGGATGATTCAGTTGAAGTGCACTATATGGATGGCTCCAGGTTGCTCCTTTCGCCTTGTGGGTCTGAGTTTTTGTTTGAGAAGGCACCTCCTGCCTCTGCCCACCCCATGCAGCCTCCAGAAAGGGTTCGCCAGAGGACACCGTTTGCTATTAGCGTCTACCGGGTAAACAAGGACATTCATTCTTTCATTCATTCATTTTTCCAAGCAGAGTGCCAGGAGGAGAAAAGGGAAGGACACCGTGGGATAATAATAAGGTGGTATTCGGGCAAGTTTTTTATCAGCTCAGAATTAAGCTCCAAATAAAGGTTTGCAATTCAACTTGCATGAACAAATGGCCAAAGCTGGCATTTCGGAAAAGTAAATAGAACTGATAACTTAATGTCTGTAAAGAATCTGTGCAAATATACAGGTAGCTCAAAGAACAAATATACAGTGCTATGGATTGTCTGACTTCGTTGCTGCAATTCTGTTTATTTCCAGAATTATGGTTGTAAGTATTGTTGATTAGACAGTAGACCCTCTACTTTCATGGGATCCCCACAAAATTGGAAAAAAATGTAATTAAAAATTTTTTGTGTGTGTGTCTAGGAATCTTTTAAGTCCTCCTGCTTCTTGGCAGGGGGTTGGACTGGAGGGCCCACGAGGTCTCTTCCAACTCTATGATCCTATGATTCTAATCTTTCTAGTTTAAAAGTTGACTGTAAACTAGAAATAATTATAATCCTAGAGTTAGAAGAGACCTTGTGGTCCATCCAATCCAACCCCCTGCAAAGAAGCAGGAAAATCTCACTCAAACCAGCCTCAACAGATGGCCACTCAGCCTCTGTTTAAAAGCCTCCAAAGAAGGAACTTCCACCACACACCAGGGCAGAGAATTCCACTGCTGAAGAGCTCTCACAGTCAGGAAGTTCTTCCTCATGTTCAGGTGGAATCTCCTTTCCTGTCATTTGGAGCCATTGTTCTGCATCCAAGGCAGCAGAAAACAAGCTTGGTCCCTCCTCCCTATGATGTCCCCTCACATATTTATACATGGCCCTCATCATGTCTCCTCTCAGCCTTCTCTTCTGTAGGCTGAACATGCCCAGCTCTTTAAGCCGCTCCTCATAGGCTCATTCTCCAGACCCTTGATCATTTTTGTTGCCCTCCTCTGGACACATTCCAGCTTGTCAACATCTCCCTTCAATTGTGGTGGCCAGAATTGGACACTGTTTTGGGAAGCAATCAGCATACTGAAAACAGAAAGTGACTGCATGCACTCGGATGGTCAGAGGCAAAGAGGCTAGAGAAGCATGTTACATAGCGAGTTTCTAAGCCCAGAATTGAAACCGAAGAAGTGGGTCAGACCGTCCATTGCCTCAGAAGCTTCTCTCCTTTTTTCAGGCAGTTAAAATACAGACTGTATTGACTTAAATAACAAGGACTTTAATGATTTCTAAACTCTGCTGACTTTTTCTGCCGTGTAGTATGCTTTGAGTCCTTTGTAATTCTGCAGTTCTATGAGTTCAAAGGCATGGCTCATAATTGCTGAAATATATAAACCAAATATGATATAATATGTAAATATGTATATAAGTATAAATATTGCATGTGTACAATAATTATATAAATATAAAAACATTTTAGAAGAAAATACATGTTTAAAGGCTATTCGTGTTTTGGAAATGGTGTCTGTGAGCTAATCTGATGTTTTTAGTAACCTACACATTCAGATAGGGGCCGCAGTGGCGTAACGGGTTAAACCGCTAAGCTGCAGAACTTGCTGACCAGAAAGTCAGTAGTTCGAGTGTGTGGGATGGGGTTAGCTCCCACTGTTAGCCCCTGCTTCTGCCAACCTAGCAGTTTGAAAACATACAAATGTGAGTAGATCAATAGGTACTGCTTTGGTGGGAAGGTAACGGTGCTCCATGCAGTCATGCCAGCCACATGATCTAGGAGGCATCTACAGACAACAGCGGCTCTTCATCTTAGAAATGGGGATGAGTGCCCATCCCTAAAGTTGGACTTGGCTAGACTTAATGTCAAGGGGAAACCTTTACCTTTGCCAATCTTTTCTAGGTGCAGCTTTTGCGAGCGTTAGATTTTCGGAATCAATATGCTGATCATCCCTATTTACCTTCAAGTATTATACCTGCTGAAAGGAAGAATGTAAGTTTTTGATTTGTATCATTTTACAGTCACAAAAAAGATTCTAACTGCAGTGTTAAATGATTGATGGTCAATCCTTTTCTTGATTTAAAGATAACATGGAATAATTTGAATCCATTGTTTTTTTCAAGTCTGAATTCCTGGAATAGATACTGTATGTATGTAGAAGGCAAAATAGAGCCTCCAGGCTGCATTAAGGTGTTTTTGTGGCCCATAGGCTCCTCCAGACATGATAATTAATTAATTAATTAATTATTAGTGGCCTAAATTGGTATTCATGGCTTGGAGCAGTGTTTCTTTAAAAGGAGGTGAATAGGCCTCTACCAGACTTTGAAAAGCCTGTGAAAAAAATCCCCCCCCCCCCCCCCAATTCACCACACCTTTGAGGCAATTGGAATCAAACATTTATCTTTATTTTTACCCCCTGGAGAGAGTGGTAGAATGGTGATGTTGTTGTTGTTGTGAGATTTCATTATTATTTTTATTACGTTTATGTTTATTTATGCCCCGCTTTTCTCTCCACAAGGAGACTCAAAGTGACTTATGAGGGGCAATTTTACTCTAAACCAGTGGTTCCCAACCTGTGGTCCACCAGTAGTCTGCAAGAACAAAAATATGACTCGCAGCCTCACCATTACTACACCGTTACATTGAAACCATGCAGCAATGAGAGCGACTGGTTTCACATAACCCTCTTATAGTGCCGAGGCAATGGGGATGTTGTAAGGGGAGAGGCTGACTACCCACAAAAGATTATTGCTACCATCAGCTCTGGATTATTAAATATGGTTTTCTGTGGAAGAGCAGATGGTGGCTATTGGATGGCATATGCTCTGTATGTATGTATTTATTTATTTATTTATTTATTTATTTCAGTTACTTCTACCCCGCCCTTCTCACCCCCAAGGGGGGACTCAGGGCAGCTTACAAAGGAAGGCACAATTCGATGCCTATGTCAAAAATACATACATACATAAAAGCAATTAAACAGTTAACAGGTTAAAAAACATCAGTACATAACACAATAGTAAACAATCTCATGGTCAGTGTTCAGAGTTCCATAAATCCATTCTGTTCCGTCAATTCCTGCCCATCATCAAGGTCTTTCCTTTAGCTGCCAGAATGTCCAAAAGCCTGGTCCCACATCCAGGTCTTCAATTTTTTTCTGAATGACAAAAGGGAAGTCGCTGATCTAATCTCCCTGGGGAGTGAGTTCCACAGGTGAGGGGCCACTACCGAGAAGGCCCTGCTCCTCGTCCCCGCCAGCCTCACTTGTGATAGAGGCGGGGTCGAGAGCAGGGCCTCCCCAGAAGATCTTAGACTCCGAGGTGGGACGTAGAGGGAGATCCGTTCGGACAGATACACTGGGCCGGAACCGTATAGGGTTTTGTAGGTCAAAACCAGCACTTTGAATTGTGCTCGGAATTGGATCGGCAGCCAGTGGAGCTGACATAACAGGGGGGTGGTATGCTCCCTGTATGACGCTCCGGTGAGCAATCTGGCTGCCTCCCGCTGGACTACTTAGAGTTTCCGAGCAGTCTTCAAAGGCAACCCCACGTAGAGTGCGTTGCAGTTATCCAGTCGGGATGTGACAAGAGCATGGACCACCGTGGCCAGATCCGACTTCCCAAGGTATGGGCGCAGCTGATGCACAAGTTTTAATTGCATCAGAAACTAGAGCTGATGTGGTCTATCCAAAGCAGTTTTCTGAATCAGCATCCAAATAACCAAACTGAATCTACAGTTGACCGAAAACCAATTCATAACCCTTTTAGTACTAATGTTGGAGAGTGGTCGTTGGTCAAGTGGTCCCTGGTAAAAAAGAAAAGGTTGGAAACAACTGCTCTAAACCAATTTTCTCACCAACTTATTCATACCTATCAAGAGGTAAGTTACAAAAATGCATTAAGATTTCTTAAGACTTTTCTATCACAGACTGGAAGGGCCAGGGTTAACCTGTCATAGCTGGAAATGTCTCCCTGCCTGCAAAATATAACTGGTTTTTCAATAATTATGTCAGTCCTTTTAAATCGCCAAACTTCAGGCACAGATTTATGATGAAAATGACATTGTGTTGAAAACCGAATGGCTCTGCTTTCCCTTTTTCAGGTTATTTTCATGGATATCTCTGAAGCCAAGTGGCCCGGTCCTGATAATGCCGAAGGGACAATAGTTGTGCAGAATGGCAATGTGACAGTCACCTCCTTAGATGGACATGCTTGTCTCTTCTTACCGGAGCTTCAGCAAGAATTTACAGTAGAGTTTTTATGCAAAGTCAGCCAGAAGGTTTTGACCTCATTGCCACCTTTGGAGAAGAACTGCAGTAAACTGATCCAAGATTGTTCTGGAAGATCGAGCCAAAATGCTGCCTTAAAACTGTCTTCTAAGCAGTTGGCAACTAAAGGGAAGGACAATATCCCTAGTGCAGAAAATCCTGTTCAGCAAAGCGATTCAGGATGTTTGAAGCCAGATGGGATTTCAGGGGCTTTCCAGAACTCTTCGTCTGAATATTGTAGAGTTAAGCAGCATATGTCTGTGTCTTCCTGCCCCAGAGAATGGGAGTCCCCTTTGTCATTGGCATTTATGTTTTGTCAGTCAGCTCAATCTGAGGAAGCCAGCAAAGAAGGTGATTCCTCCAAGTGGGACACATCTAGGGCAATCACCCATTTACCTTCAGCTTTACCTCTCAGCTGCCATGCTCCATATTTGCACAGGTAAATTATTTTTTCTCTCCAGGCTGAGCATTTCTTGTTCTGAAATCTGAAATACTCTAAAATTGTCCACATGGGTGGCTGACGTAGTGACACCTTTGCTTTCTGGGTTTTCTAGGAGTCTTAGCTAATACATCTGTGTTTTATTCCCAAATGCCAGGTGATCTCTTTCAGTATCTTCATATTGGACATAGATAAAATGTAAGCACAGGGAGCCACAGTTGTTTTAGGGAGTTCTGGCCTCTGAAATATCATCATTCCTGAAGGAACTCTCTTTTTTCCCTTTGAATTCCATTGCATTGTTTATTTATAGCCTGCTGTTTCTCCAGAGATGTATTGCATCGTCACCACGCTGAGAATCTTTTACTTAGGAAAACAAGAAAGTTAGCATGTAATAGGAAAGAAAGCAGGAGTCATGTTTAACTAAAGCAGAGATCTGAGAATCCATGCTTGCTTCCAACCCAGGCATGGGCAAACTTGGTCCCTCCAGGTGTTTTGGACTTCAACTCCCACAATTCCTAGCAGCCCAGACCCTTTCCTTTCTCCCCTAGGCTGGAAAAGGAAAGGGCCTGAGGCTGTTAGGAATTGTGGGAGTTGAAGTTCAAAACACCTGGAGGGAGTACCAAGTTTGCCCATTGCCTGTTCCAACCTCTCAAGAACACAGACAAGGTGTAAGTTCCCCAGTTGAAGGTGAAAGGAAGGTCAAAGCAGACAAAAGATAGTCTAGAAAACACAATCAAACCTTCCATCAAACACAATTGTCACCTCAAACATCAAGGTGTAATGTTGATAGAATAATACTGTTGGGTTTAAGTAAGAGAGAATAATATCAAAGCGTATCAATACAGTCAGTCCAAAGATTTGACTGTATTGATACACTTCCACGGATTCTACCATTCACTGCTTGACATTTTTTTAATCCCCAAATGCAAAGCTTGGTTTTGTCATTTTATATAAGGGAAACCATTTTATTACACCATTGTATACGATGGGACTTGAGCATCTACAGATTTTTATATCCACACGGAATCCTGGAACCAAGGCTCAGCTGATGCCAAGTGACCACGCTACTCTCACCAGAGCCCAGCCATGTTTTAAAGGAACTGTTAATTGATTATACTATAACACAGCCATTAATAATATTCATAGTTTTTCCGTTACTGGAAAAAATATTGCACAAGTTCAAGTAGCTAGAATAAATTAAATGAATAAACTTTATATCCTGCCACCATCTTCTTACAAGGCACTCCAAGGTGCACATATAACATACAACAGGTAAAAACGRTGCAAAAGTATAAAACAAGTCACATAAAATTATAACCACAACCCTTGTCAACACATGTAAAATAGAAACAMAATAATACAATTTTAAAAACAACAGTAGATAAAACTAACTGCTATCAAWTTACAAAATGTCAAGTGTCAGCTTCATATGGGYCCATTCAGCCTACTCAGGGTCAAAGGCCTGTCTGAACATCCATGATTTCAGGTTGAAATGGAAGGATTGAGGGGTGGGGGCTAATTAATCTCTTTTGGGAGGATATTCCAAAGCTGGGGGGGGGGGGTGCCACAGAGAAGGCCCTCTCTCTGGTCCCCACCAACCACAGTTGAGACAGTGGTGGGACCGAGAGGAGAGCCTCCCCRTCTATCTTAGAGCYCGTACATGTTTGTGAAAGAGATGCGGTCATGAAGAAAGGTTGGACCTAAAGATTTCTTCACTATTAATAAATTGGTATCCATCTACTTTTGAAAATAGTTTTCTTAGGCTGGAACTGAGCCTCCAGTTATACCTGGAATATGTCTCACCAAACACAGTGGGACTTCTTCCTGGGTAAGGAAAAAAAGAAAAGAATGAAGTTCAGTTGCAGTTGGCCAGAGGCTTACAGGCAACATTTATTGTATGTTTCCTCGATTCTTTTAAGGATTCCAATTGGGTTTTGCATAATGTTCTGTTCCTTTGACCCACAGGTGGAATTTCACTAACTTCTTCCAACCAAAACAGGAAGATAGTAAACATTATTTGCACACTCAGCCAATCAAAGTACTGTGGAGCAACGACGTCATTTACAGGTTTTCAAAAAAACAACAAAAACTTGTATTTGTGTGTTTGCATTTGAGCACAAACATGATTGTTGACATAGAAAGTTTTTAAAAATAAGAGATGTGTTTCCTTAGTTAGTTTAAAGAAAACTGGTTTAGGCAGCACTTGGAAAATTATGTTTAAATACATAATAATATAATAATAAACTTTATTTATACCCTGCCACCATCCCCTGGAGGGACTCAGGGTGGCCTACAAAGCACTCAAATGTGCAAACAGGCAAAATGCAAAAATTGCAGAAACAATAACACAAAACAATAACAGCCAACTTAAATATCACACTTCACAAAACCCCTGGTAAAATCAATAAAATACAGCAATAGCAGGTATAAACAACAGTAGTCAATCTCAGTCATGTAAAGTTCTTGGTGAAATATATGGGTCCTCATGTATATTCAATAAAGAAAACTAAATATGATCAAAGGCTTGTTGAAAAAAACATGTCTTCATAGAAAGAGATGTGATCTTGAAGATAGGCTGAACCCAAAGTGTATAAGATATATATTAGCATGGATCTAGAATTCCTTGGATTAGATCCCCAATTTGGTACTAGAGTCAATGATTATTATATTCCTACTTCCCATTGCAACCTTTGAAAATGTTGTCTGAAGGGCAGTGCAGAAGGGATTCAGTTGAAAGAAAGGATGGATGAGAAACAGAAATATAATGGAAAGAGGGCTGCTGCTAAATTTTCCTTTTGACTAGCATATTTTTAAGAAGTGAGTTATATATATTGTAAATTTTCTAGTTTGATGCAAGATTTGCATATGTTTGCATAGAAATAAAAGTAAAGCAGAAAGTGGATTCATTATGGAAAGATCAAAGTGTAGAATTGAATTTTTTCCCCTTATATGTTTGGTTTATTATAATTCAGTTTGCTTCTGTGCAAGAAGAGGCAGAATATTAATAAAATATTAAATTAAATATGAAATTAAAACTAGAACCACAGTCTAGGCCAGTTACATATACTGATACTTAAATCCTGCTGAACTCAATGGAGTGAAAACCCAGAAAATTATATTGTAGCAAGTGTGACTTCCACCCAGTGAACAAGATTATGATTGTGGTTGTATTTATAACACATCCATTATGTTCTGTGGATTGCTGGCTCCTGTGCAGTCCCTATATTTTATTTACAGTTTCCCCACATAATATCCCACAGTAATAAATGATGTAGAGAGTCTAATGAAGCATATTTTTCTTAGATTTTTTCTTAGAACTAAAAGCATAGAAATTTACCCAGGTGATGGATCAGTTTTCAAATCAGAAGGTACCTTCTGGGGGAAATATTTCACTCGCTATTATATCCAGGAGCAAACAAAACAGGCAAGTGGCGGAGTTTTATCTTTTTTTTAAAAAAAACTGTTTATTTATAAAATGAATTAATAAAGTTGGATGTGGATATAAATTACAACAACGGTTTAGTGGCTGGTATTACAATTATGTACCAAATATACTACATTTTCCTTTTTATGTTTTTTTTTATCTTGAGGGATGAGATGAGACAGAACATGCAAAAATTTGTTTGTTTAATACTAATGGATATATTTAATAGATGCAGTCGAGACATAGTTCTCCCATTAGCCTTTTGCTGGTATTGGCGGTGGAGTCCAACACTATCGAAATGCATTACTGGTCTTTGGAGGATTCTGAATGTCAGTTCTGTCAGAAATATATAAAAAAAATAACTAGGTATTTTTGGTTACAACAATGTGAGTCAGGCAGTGAAAAGGTTAAATGGATGCAGTGATCCAGAGAAGCTGTGGTTCAGTATAAGCAGGCATGCCTGTTGCTTAGTAATGCCTCAGTTTGAGAGAGCTCTCAGTGTGAGAGAATCCTCTCTGTGTGAGGAATCGCCTCAGGCAGAGAATAGGTGTCAGTAGTAATAGACCTCACTGCGGGAGAAAGTCCTCAGAGTGTGAGGTAGGCCTCATTATGAGAAGGCCTCTTGTGTGAAGCTCCAGTGTGAAGGCTGAACTTTATTTGTGTTATGGAAACCTTGTTTTTGTAAATAGTGCAAGCATATTATTCTGCTATAAAGAAAAGCCCCCTGTGAAAGAGATAACATTGGTCTATGTGTTTTTGTTCCTTTTATCACTTTGGGCTACTGGGTCATACTGCTGCTACTAAATTACTCTGTTATATGTTTATGAGGCGGGTCTTTTGTTAATAAGCCCACTTGCCCAACAAGTCCTTCCGAGGAATTAGATTGAAAAAATTCCCAGCCTTGTGTTGGAGAGAAGAGAAGAGATTGCGTATGCTGTTTTCAAAACCTGAACCATTTCATGGAGTTTTGTTTTCACTGTAGGATTTCTGTTCTCTTATTTTTCTGAAGGCTGCCACAGAGACTCACAGATTTTACAATAGCTTGTCAGATACATTTCTTGTAAACACTGGCTTTCACCAAACCGAGGCCCATTCATTCTACACAATTATAACACTATTATTACAGTTTAGGTGCCATGCTGAATCTTTGTTGTTGTTGTTAATTCATTCAGTCATTTCCGACTCTTCGTGACCTCATGGACCAGCCCACGTCACAGCTCCTTGTGGGCCGTCACCACCCCCAGCTCCTTCAAGGTAAATCCAGTCACTTCAAGGATCCCATCCATCCATCTTGCCCTTGGTCACTCCCTCTTCCTTTTTCCTTCCATTTTCCCCAGCATCATTGTCTTCTCTAAGCTTTCCTTTCTTCTCATGATGTGGCCAAAGTACTTCATCTTTGCCTCTTGCTGAATCTTAGGGAATCCTAAAAACCTTTTCCTGAACTGACAGTCCCAGGATTCCACAGGACAAAACCATAGTATTTCCAAAAGTGGCATAATTGTGCTTTCATTGGGTCATGTGAATGGGCCCCTGGTTGCCTTCTTTATGGTTTGGGGATGTTGAGAGATACAATTGAACACACCTGGAGAGTGCTAGCTCTGGAAAGATCAGTGCATCCAAGTGTTTGGACTGGCTTGCTGTTGAATGGACAAGTTGTTAAAACCAGCTCTTAAAATCATAAGTTAGCAAATGTGTTCTTTGTGTTTGTTTTGGGGAACTCCTGAAGCAGGCTAGAACTGTATTATGACAAGGAAAACTTGGATTTAAGTACAGCACTTATAATTACTAGAATGGGACTCATGCTTAGTGTTCATCTAAATATACTTTGTTTGTTTTTTTCCTTCAAGAGAGAAGAAACCACGTATTCTGTAAGCAGTCTGCCTCCTGATACACCTGGAAGCCTCTATTCTGTGTGGGGCATTATTACACAAGCAGTAAGGTGAAATAGTTTGGCTTTGTACTTTGAGGGAATATTATCCATTACTGATTAATTAATGACTGGCCTGTATTGTTGTTGTCGTTGTGTTTCATCAAGTCTTTTCCAGTGCACAGGAGCTCTAAGGGGCTGAGAGTGTGTGACTCATGCAAGGTCACCCTATGAGTTTCAGTGGCTGAGCAGGGAATCAAACCCTGGTATCCAAAGTCATTAAAACATTTGCGAAATTAGACATGGATGATTACGTAGGAATGTATTATATACAGAGGGAAGCATTCAGCCAGCAAGGTAGTTGCCTTTTTAACTTGTATATAGATTTGTTCGTCTTGTCTGTCTTGTCTGTCAATTTGTCTATGTTGTAAAACCTTTTCCAGTAAAAATAAATTAAAAAAAAAACATTAGGCGTAAACATTAGTATTATGCTGATTTATAATAGAAACACCAGGAGCGACTTGCAATCACTTCTGACACGACAAAAAAAAAAAGAAAAAGAAACTGTGCAAAAATTCATCACAGGACCAATATAAACACAACAACACATTCAGAATTCTTAATTCAATATAAAATGCCAAGAAATGAAAACCATAAAGCTAGGTCAACTTCAAATAGAAAAAAAGAGTGATAAAAATTGTGCAATACTAAAACGACAACCTGGGAACACTGAAAAAGTATTTGGCTGGGGCTGAAAAAGTATTAGAGTAGATACCAGGCAGACTTCCTTGGTGAAGCCGCTATTGAAATGACTTTTCAAAATTAAAACAGCTTCAGATGTTGATTACAGAGAAGACATCCGTATAATTGGGAAGCATATTATGAAGGGCTTAGAATTAGGTCTAGAAAAGGCCCAGATGGAGCAGATAGAATATTAAATAAGGCAGAGTACTGGTATGATATATTTATACTCCACTGTCCCATTCTTATTTCTTGCCCTGAAGAAACTACAGGTTTTTATTATTTGCCTAGGATCCTGAAGTGTGTGTGAGGGTGGAGTTAGTTTCCCGTAGTACTTCATAAGCGACTGGTATACATATGCAAGTTCAAATCTTCATCCTAAATTATTATAGTTCACAAATTGAGTCAAAGCCACAATAATTAAACAGCTGAGAGTCAGAAAATTTTGTCAATCTATTGCTAATCAGTGTGTTATCTAAGGTTTTCATGGCTGGAATCACTGGGTTGCTATGAGTTTTCCGGACCTTATGGCCATGTTCCAGAAGCATTCTGTCCTGATGTTTCACCCACATCTATGGAAGGCATCCTCAGAGGTTTGTGAGGTTTGTTGGAGACTAGGCAAATGGGATATATAAACACTGTACTCATGAAATATTTTATTTTATTTTTACCTAGAGTTCTTCAACACGATCTTGAGAACATCCTGTCATTAACACATAATTTCAGTGCCTGCTGCTGGAAGATGGTAAGTAAGTGTGAAAAAACAAATTACTTTGTTCAATAAGGATGGGCAGCTCTGGTCTTCTGAATGTTTTTGGGCTGCATCTTTTGGCAGCCCAGCCAGGATTCCCAATAGTCATCAGTCATTATAGTAGTGGTCTGTGGCTTTTCGATATCAGGGCAGCCACGTTTCTTTGCCCCATTATAAAATAGTGCCTGAACTTTGCTTTCAGTTGAAGATGCCAGGCTGTTAGGAATTATAGGAGTTGAAGTCCAAAACACCCAGGGGAGCCAAAGTTTGCTCATGTCCAGTTAAGACGCACATCCCTAGGAAACATGGAGATTCAGAGAGGGCGAGAATATTGAAAAAAAGATGTGTGTTTTTAAAGGGTCAAGGAAAATGAGATAAAATTAAAACTGGAATGGCCTCTGAATATAGCTGGGAAACCAAACCATAAAATCAAGATGTGCATTTCAACCTGTTGAAATTAGGGGAAAAGTCTGGGAAACCATAATGTGATGGTCATTTAATAGAGCTGGATTTTACCTCTGTCCCTGAGCTTCCTTGTCCCTGTCTTGGACCATGATCTAAACCTTTGAAATGGCCAATGAGTATCAAATACTAGCATTAATATGTACATTTGTATTGAACTTATTTTTGTCCCATGTGGTTTCTTTTGTAATAGTCTCCTGAAACTGGTGGAGAAGAAATGCTGCCAGTCCCTTTGGCTTCAAAGTTTTTTCCTAATGTGGGAAGATTGTTTGCATATTCGGATAATAAAGTACATGTTGTTTTTAATGATGGAATGGCCCTGAATATGATGTGGGATTTTCATTCTCGTGATGGAGACACACAGGTGAGACTTATTGGGAGTTGGTTTAAATTATGCTATGTCTGAAGGGAAACTGCATCCTGTTTTTCCTCTCTGTAGAATGTGTATCGAACATGTGAGCGACCCCAATGTGACCGTTGCCTTTTTCATTTTCACTACGTTGATATTCTGCTAATGGAGATAATAAACACACCAGTGCTGGAAGATTTAATATGTTTATTAACTGGCAAAATGCCATAAAAGCAATTCTAATATTCTGGACCAGAGGTGGGAAACTATGGGAGATTTGGGGGCCACATTACTCCTCTAAGAAAAAAGCCCCTAAACGTCCCCCAGCACCCTGTATAGGCTGTCTGAAGTATTGTCATTATGAACAATCTGGATAATCTTAGGAATTAAAACAAATACAATAAGTTCTGAGAAGTCACTTCTGGTTTCTTGCCATTTAAAAAAAAGTCCTTTCCTGAGCTAATTTTTTTAGTATATTTATTTATAGTATTTATATTCCGCCCTTCTTACCTTGAAGGGGACTCAGTGCGGATCACAGAACACATATATGGCAAACATCCAGTGCCGTTATACACTGACAAGACAGACAACTGTTCATAGATGGAGGTATATATAGGCTTTCCCATCTTTGGCACTGCTCAGTTCCGGCTGTGGGGGATACTCTCGCTCCATCTTCCCTGTTGAAGAGCTATGTTTGTAAATATCCTTCTTGATTGAACTGCCAGCATTTTCAGGCATTTCCTTGTGGGTGTCTTAAAGACCTCCCTGCTTTAAAGCAGTACCTATTTATCTACTCACATTTACTTTCAAACTGCTAAGTAGGCAAAAGCTGAGCTGAAGGCCAGGAGCTCACCCTGACCTTGGCTCTGAACTGTCAACCTTTTGATTGGCAAGATTTACTACAGCTGGCGGTTAACCTGCTGTGCTAAAGCCTGGCTCCATTTCCACATAAAATAGAAATAAAACCCATAAAGCAAAATCATATCTTGTTCAACTCTGGAGAGTCCTGGTGAAGCAATAGCAGAGACAGTCCTTTTTTGTCCAGTTTGCAGAACCTTGTCAGCCTTTCTGATCTGCACTGAGCTCACCAGGGCAAGTCCATAAGGCTTTCTATAGTCAGATAATAAAGTAAGGTACAAGAGAATTTGAAGTACAGTCAGCCCTCACATTTGGTGGGTTTAAACACACAGGACCCTTATGAAAGTGAAAAACTGTGAATCAAAAATAACTGTTTTATTGTGTTTCTTGTCTCTTGGTATAAATCTCAATAAATACTTAAAACATGTTTTTGCTTAAGGAATTTCTAAGTCCTTTTGTATGATTCTGTAGTCAATTTCTGCTGGAAGGTGAGCATAGAATCTCACTGGAGAGTCTAACATTTTTTAGAGAGAACATTCCCATCAAATCCATGAATAATCAATTCTGCAAAAGTCAGAACCACAAATATAGAGGCAACAGCATTTCATTTCTGATTATATGCTTTTCCAGTAGGTGGCAATCAGGGAACTTTTTAAGAAACTCGACTATTACAGCAAAAGGAGAAAGAGTTTTTCATGCTCTTGGAAAACACTGGTTTGGCTTCTGAGTTCACAGAAAAACTGGTTTGGCTTCTAAGTTCACAGAAGAATTTGTCTCCATTGGGCTTCCAATCTGTTCTTAGGGATAGTAGAACTGTTCATCCACCCATCTGACTTCAGCTTTGAAACAGAAAACCAAACATAACTTTAAACAAACTATGGTGAACAGAAAGGAGCCAAGTGGGAAAAGTATCGTATATGCTTGAGTATAAGCTGAGTCAGGGCTGAAAAAGCCTCCCTCAGCTTATACTTGAGTCAAAGTTATTTATTATTTTACTTTAGTTATTTTTATTATTTTTATTAAATTTATTATTTGACTTTATTATTATTACCTTTACATTAAGTAAAGGTAAAAGTTTTCCCCTGACCTTAAGTCTAGTCGTGTCTGACTCTGGACTTAATCCAAAGAACTCTAATCCAAAGAACCAGCGTTGTCTGTAGACACCTCCAAGGTCATGTGGCCGGCATGACTGTATGGAGTACCGTTTACATTACTTTATTCTAGTATTATTTTTACATTTATCATTCTATTCTATTTATTATTATTACAGTTATTACATTAATTATTTTACTCTATTATGATTGGAAGGATACATAAGCACATTTACATTGAAGAAGGTTAGAATAATGGTTTAATCAGAGTTGGACAGTCTGATCTTACATTACAGTTTTATGTAAATGTTTTTGAATATTTACATAAAAGTGTAATTTAAGATAAGTCTGTCTCAACTGATGTAATTTCAGATAAGACTGCCTCAATTAATGTAATTGTATTGGTATCTATTTTTATTTTGGAATTTATCAGTAGCCGCTGCATTTCCCAACCTTGACTTATACTCAAATCAGTACGTTTTCCTAGGCTTATACTTGAATATATACAGTAATCAATATCTTCATTTTTCCTTCCAAGAGACCTCAGGATGCAAACACAGGCTGGTGCAAGCTGACTTCTCCTGATGGAGCTCAGCAACTTATCCAGATAGATCAACCTGGGCTTTATGAAAGGTACTTGGATATTTTTTTTATACTTTCAGAAAATTCTGCATAATTCTAACATTAAAATGTTTGGATTTACCTCAAAAAATATAGAGATCCTTCTCACCAAATTACATAATTACTGGCAAAATTATTTTCTAACATTCCAAATTTTGGGAGGTCCACCAATTTGTAATTCTCTATGGTGCTACAAGATCCTTTTGCATACTGATAGTCCAGATTAATATGGTTATATCTTTGAACAGTAAATTATAAAACATTTTATATCAAAGTCATGATATCTCAGGCTGCTTCAGTCAGTGGACATCTTTGCCTTTAGCTGCTGTTATGGGTCATACCCAGATTGGAAATACTGAGAAAAATGGAAAGGGGGATCTAAATCTACAAGGGTTATCCAGAAAGTAAGGTTACAAGGCACGTAGCTCTCGCAAGAAATTTTCTTGGGGAAAGTTGGTATCACTGCCGTGTAGCAGGAAGCCAGTAGAAGTGAACGAGCATTACCAGTCATCAGTAACTCATCGACTGCCGTTGTGGTGAAGGCTAGAGATGGGCGTCCTCATTCCATTTCCCTCCAAATGCGAAGTTCGCGCTGTAATGCACTACCTAAATGCGAAGAGCATGAACGCCACTGCAATTCATTGCGAAATTGTTTCAGTTTATGGACAAGACAGCATGTGACAAAATGGGTGTGGAATATATTGTGAGACCATGAAGAAACTTTGTAGAGCCATTCAAAAGAAACATTGTGGGATGCTGACGGCGGGAGTCTGTCTCCTTCATGACAGTGCACGTCCACACACCACGCATGCAACACAAGAGTTATTGACTTCATTTGGTTAGGATGTTTTAAGCCACCCTTCTCACAGCCCCGATCTTGCCCCCAGTGACTATCAATTGTTCACTAAACTGAAGGAACACTGTGGTGTAAAACACTTTTCCAATGACAACGAGGTGAAAATCGAAGTGATGAACTGGCTGAAAAAGGTGGAGGGAAACTTCTATGAAAGTCATCCCACGGATGACAAAATGTATTGAATTGAATGGTGATTATGTGGGGGGGGAAAGGATACCTATGTTACAATCCATGTAAGTTTTATTAAAATATATTCTTTGTATTTTAAAAATATCTTGTAACCTTACTTTCTGGATAACCCTAGTATTTCCAGGTTTGATTAGGAAAAGGGCTTTCCCTTTCAGTGGTTAAAACAATCCTCCTTTCCTAGAGGTCTCCAGTGTCAAGTTCTACAGCGTATATGCATTGAGGGTCTCTGTATGAAATTGAAGGTCATAAGAAATGGCCCCGGAGGCCACGTTTAATCAGGGTTGCAGTCTGCTCACTCCTGAGCTATCCCACTTCCTTCTGTTCCCTTTCTCTGAAAGATAAAACATAGGGCTAAAACTGTGCCATCCGTTGCTCAGAAGGGCCTCTACACTGCTCTGATACCGCCTTGTGATTAAGTTCACAAAAGTTACTGGCCTACTTTTCTCCTTGTACATACCTTTTCATTTATATAAGGAGCTGACAGAGAAAGAACACTTCTTTCTTTCTTTCTTTCTTTCTTTCTTTCTTTCTTTCTTTCTTTCTTTCTGTGCTGCGTATAGCGAAGGGAGTTTGATATATACGGCATGGTCTCTGAGTCACAGGGGGAAGGACAGCTGCATGGTTTCCACATAAAGGTTGGAAGAGGGGTGCTACACTTCCTACACACCTAACATAGGAACACCATCAACCCCCATGGTCTTTCCAGGGTCAGAGACGGCTTTAAAAAAACCCTCCATCATGTCCGTGAAATAAATGCAGTCAGCTACTAAAAGAAGATAAGTACCAAGTTATATCTTTGAACCAGCAGCTCACTCATGTTTGATCCAGCAGCTCACTCATCTGTATCTTCTTCTCAGATGTGTCATGCAAAGCAAGTAAATAAAAAGCTACCCATCGTAATTTTCGACGATGGCAGTACAAAAGCCAGTATTAGTAGATTGGTGGTTGTACAGTGGTTGACCCTTGGTATCTGTTCCAGGAGCCAGCCACCCTCCTGTGAATACTAAACTCCTTGGATGCTCAAGTCCAATGTTATACAATAGCATAGTAATATGGTGTCCCTTAAGCTATATCTATACTGTACAATTAATGCGATTTGACACCACTTTCTCTCTCATGGCTCAGTGCTATAGAATAGTGAGATTTGTTGTTTGGAGAAGCAACAGCCCTTTGGCAGCAAAGGCTAAAGACCTTGTAATACAACAACATCCCAATTCCATGTCATTGAGCTGTGGTTAAAGTGGTTTCAAACTGCATTAGTTCTGCAGTGTAGATACACTGTTATATAAAATGGCAAAATCAAGGTTTGATTTTGGGAATTTATTTGGAATATTTTCAAGCTGTGGATAGCAGATACAGAGGGCCAACTGTACATAGGCTGAGAGGAGACATGATGGCCATATATAAAATATGTGAGAGGAAGTCATAGCGATGAGGGAGCCGGATTGTTTTCTGCTGCCCTGGAGACTAGGATACAGAAGAATGGCTTCAAACTACAGGAAAGGGGATACCCCCTGAACATTAGGAAGAACTTCCTAACTGTGAGAGCTGTTCAGCAGTGGAACTCTCTGCCCTGGAGTGTAGTGGAAGCTCCTCTCCTTCTCTGGAGACTTTTAAGCAGAGGCTGGATGGCCATCTGTCATGGGTGTTCTATATGCAATTTTCCTGCTTCTTGGCGGGGGATTGGATGGCCCACAATGTCTCTTCTAATTCTTTGATTCTATGATTCATCACTCCGCCAAAGACTACCATTTGTAGGCATTTCTGCTTGAACTTTCAAGGTTTTCTTTGGGGCCACATGTCTGAGTGGAATCAACAAAAGCTCCAAATGTCTGAACATCTTTAGAACAGAGCTTGATTTATTCTGAAATGCGTGCATGCCGAGAGTAAGAGACTTGTGCCCCTGCTACAGCTGTCATGGGTATTCAGCGGCCTCATTTAGTGAAATAACACATTGTCTTCCTTTCTAACGCAGATACATTACAACAGCAGTAGAGTGGTGCAGAAACTTGAATGAGGACAGAGATAAATGCACTGAAACAACGCATCTTATTCCTGAAGAAAACTGGTATTTTTTTCCCATTTCTTTCACTAACAAAAAACGCCTTCTGCAAAATCTGCAGTGCTTGTGTGAAGGAGAGAAGCCTTCTGTTAGATTCATTACCTTGAAGGCCTTTCTATAGCAACAGAGCTATTTTCCCCGTAAAAGAGACAGCATGTTCTGCCAACAGTTGACAAGTTGTCCAATATTTTGGTACCTAAATGTGTTGAGGAAAAAAGCAACAAAAATCCCTCTAGCATTTGTGAGTGATCTTATTTCCTTGTTTTATTTAAAACATTTTTACAGTCAGGATGCTGTAAAATAAAAGAGTAGCATCAATATTGTAATATAAAAAGAGGCAATAAATACAACTGTCACCATCCCATTCTTTGAATGCCAGGGTTGTCAGATTATGGGGAGGATATGCCTTGCTGGATACAGACTATTTATCAGTAAAGCCACAGGGAAATTACAGAAGCATTTGTTGTTATTTGCTATTGAGGCAGCTTTGACTTATGACAACCCCATGGCATTAACTCTCTGTAAAATAGACGGTAGTAGGAAAAGGAGAAAGACCATGTGAGAATAATCACAACCCTGAGCTTGCAAGCACTGAGCGAGGCTGTTGATGACCACTGCTCATTAAGGCTTCTCATTCATTGGATCATTAACAGCTCTATACAGGTGCCATAAGCTCAGGGTTGTGACTTCCATTTTTGAATCAATCCATCTATGATGTGGTACTTCCTTCTTTACCAGGCATCGTTGTGTTCTCCAAAGAGCCATGTCTCATGTTATGGCCAAAGTACAAATCTTGCATAAGCTTAAGTATAATGCTACTGAGGGGAAATTTCCTGGGTGCTAAATTCTTGAACCCTACTTATACCACCACTAAAATAGACCTCTTTCTTGTACTTAAGATTGTCCATTTGCAGTTATGAAGGCAGTTGGAGCCGCACTTGAGGAGCAGATATTAAAACCTAGGCAAGCTAATATACTATCCAATAATCATAATGGTTGTATCATATTGCGTGTGAAGGATAAATGCTGTAATTGTTCACCTCTCAGGGGGAATACATCTTTAATTTCTATAAAATTGTAGTGGTGAGCAAAGTGAAATGGCACTTCCAGAAACAAGTTCTCAGTTCTATTTTTATTTTATTTTTAATAGGTCCGTTGCTGCCGAACTGGAAAAAATTAAAAGATTCAATTGTATCCTTTGGTGACATGTTTTGAATACTACCAGTAGGCCTTTTCTATACATTGTACCAGTTTGTGAGTCAAAGTAGCAGTAAGGTATCTGTAAAACATCACAGCTCTTTTTGCATAATTGTGTTTGCCATGTGCTCAGCTGCTAATTGTAATAGAAGCTTTCAGTATTTTTGTTTGTTTGCTTAATCGCTTATTTAATTTGGCTGTTTGTATTTGCACAATACCTTGTATCCATTGGAGGTGTTTTGTACTGTGATCCCGTTGATGTCTGGTAAGACCTCATTGAGTCCATGGGACTTACTCCCCATTGAGTCTTTATATTATGCATGCATTGGATTCTGTAATGGTAACACAAGCAATGCAGAATAACTGTCGGTTTCTCCTGTTGGTTGAGTTTTGCTCTTAACATCATTTCTTCCTTAACTACACAACTACAGTCTTAGTGGAAAACAGCAATATTCCAAATACGATTTCCGCTGTGAAAAGAACTCCATCTGTCAACATAAATATGCAGAACGGTTCGGAGGCAATCTTTTTATCTGAGGATATTGATGAAAAGAGCATAGCTGATACTTTACACAGAACATCAAAGATAATCAGTGATATTGACTCTCTTTTATCTTCCTCCACAAAGCCAAGCATGGCCAAAAGCATTTCACATGATACTGCCTTTCATTAGCTTGACCTGCAAAGGAAAAAAAGAAAGAAATAAATCAAACTTCACAGTTAAAAAGTAAAATGATTTGTCCTGATTTTGCTACTTTATAAATAATCAAAGCATTTTCATAATGGAGCCAAAGGTGACAATATTTCTTTTTCTAATATCAAACATGGCTTTTAAAAGGTATTCATTAATTAAAATGTAAGATTCAATAATAATTTCTGACATACATGAAAATCTTTCTGCATGAACTGAATTTTCCATTCTATTTCTTAATAACACGGTTTTCTAATAGGGGTGCTGTTGATCAAGAATAGACAAGGAAACCTGTAAAACTATTTGAAAGATAATTCCTAAACATCTTCTCAGCTAGATCTCAACATTTTCTTAAACTTTCCATTCTATTATTTGATTGTCAAGTAAACATAGAGCAAAGTTCGATTGCCGCCTTTATTTATTACTGTTATGGACTTGCAAAAGATTTGTTCTAGTTTCATTGAGCCAGAATATGGTTTATCCTTAGTCAGGTATCATTTGGGCTTTCATCAATGCATCAGTTATTGCAACCACAATGTGTGTTTTTCCCTAAATGAATGTTACTAATAAAACATTACAAGATGAAACTCCTGAGTATTCTATATGTTTCAAAATGATGCCATACCATGACTTTTATGCCTGGCTGACCAATTTGTCATTTCTCTTCTTTTACAATTTGCATATAAAGTCCTCTGCAGCAGAACCCATGCCTTGCTTGTCACTCTCATGCAGACATTTCATATGTGTGTGTGTGTATGTGTATATGTATGTATGTATGTATATGTATGTATCTCAGAGCCCCTGCCATTAAGCCAGGATCAAGAAAACTGTAAGAGAAATTTTGTATAACAAGGAAGAAAACCAGTGGCCTTACTGCTTTACAGAACCTTTACAGAAAACAGAATCCCAAGTGATAATTTTAAACCAGTATTAGAAGAATTAATGAGGAACTAAAGTAACAGTGTTGTGTAGTGGTTTGAGTGTTGGGCTGCAACTCTGAAGAACAGAGTTTGAATGCCCGCACAGCCATAAAAGCCCATTGGGTGACCTGGGGCAAGCTGCTCATTATTAACCTCAAGAAACATCATGGAAAGGTCATCATAACTTAGAAATTACTTGAGGGCATAAGACTTATCTTTGTGGCATTCCAGACATTGGTGTTCCCAATACTCTATACCAGCTTTGATCAATCGGTTTATCCTAAAGTAGCCCCCCAAATAATGTTCAGGTCTCAGGGAATCTCTTACATAAAATAGATATATGAACAACTCCAAAATATTTTTTCAACTCGGTGACCCTTTGCACAATTGTACTCTACTATATTAGCTTACTTAATTACTTAGGCGATCCCTCGTTGTCCGAGTATGATTAGCTAGGGTTGATGGGAATTGTTGCCAACAGCATCTGGAGGCTACATATTTTCTCCCACTTTTAACAGTTTAGAAAACAGGTCCCTGAATAATACTTGCAAGAAATAGCTGGAGAGAGCAGCTGGCCTCATGTCCTCCTTGTAGGTTTTTAAGGATATCTAAAAGATATGGGCCATGTGACTATTCTTGAAATGCAGAAATAAATAAATACAGGAAATGGAAATAGATCAAGGGCCAGAGCCTTGGGGAAGTTTATCTTGGAGAAATACAGTGGTCCCTCCATATTTGTGGATTTGACTTTTGCTCTTTTTGGTCCTCCTGTTTGATTGTATAGTCTTGAAGGAAGAAATCTCCCGATCCTCCCATGGGATTCTGTGATCAGCTTCCAGCAGAAGTCAACTATAGGGTCATGCTGGAAGACCTAGAAATCCCTAGAGAGGGTTTTCTTGGGTTCAAAATGAGCAATTTTATTATTTGCACTTTTTAACTTTTATAAGGGGCCTATGATCCCAACCCCAGCAAAGGTGGTGGACAGTCTATGGTTTGCTAGACTGAAACCTGGAGAGGATTTCCATACTTTTAATGGCTGTCTAGAAGAGGAAGTTTCAGCAGGGGTTGTTTATTTCTTTGCTATGTGATAAGCAGCCCCTGCTGAAATTTCCTTCTTTAGACAGCCATTAAAAATACAGGAACAATCTCCAGTTTTCAAGCTGGCAACCTTAGTGTGAAATAGGACTGGATCAGGTTTGACTGTGAGGTTGTTTCCATGATCTTAAGCAACCTGCGTACCAATCCTTTTTGACACTTTTCACATTATTAAATATATTCCTTCAGATTACATTCTAGACAAGCAAAGCCATATGTTACACCAGTCTTGTGGCACCTTAAAAGAGGAACAAAGTTTTTTTTAAAAAATGTAATTGGTAATTCATTAACAATAAACACAACAAGATTAAACAAACAACATAACAGATGGGATGTAATCATATGTGACAGTTCTTCAATGGAAGGCTAAAGCAGATGGTGACAGTATTCATAGTAAGTAATCTGGTGCTAAATTGAAAACATCTTTCCAAAGGGGAAGTTGATGAGAAGGTGGACGAGGAAAAGCTATTTACATCATTAAGCCTTTGTAGATAAGAGGCCATTTCATCGGGTGTTTTGTGCCATAATACATTTCTACGCCATTAAGACTTGTTCTTTTTTTATGGTAAGGATTGTTCTGTTTTTCTTGTATAGCGATGCTTTTTTTCCCTTGTGGGTTTTGTCCAGGTTTCATGAATAAAATGTACTCAAATTGATATTTCACTACTTATCTTCACATAAAGATTTGAGCTCTTCTGTATTTTGTGGCTGCACTTGACATGATTATTGTAAAACAAGATTATTGTAAAACTGAATGCCAAACCATATCAATACAAGATCTTAGGAGGGGCCCAAAATTGCCAATTGAATTGTCAGTCTCTTGTGGCCAGAAGTGTTTTGGATTTAGGGTTTTTCTTTCTTTCAGATTTTATAATATTTGTATTTGCCTATACGTACACAATGAAATATCTTGGAGATGGGTCCCAACCTTAAACAAAAATCCATTTATGTTTCAAATACACATGACGTGGAGCTATTGTAAAGCATGAAACAAAGTTTGTCTACACTGAAAGCAAAGGTGTGTCTCCGTCACTCGTGGACAATTTTGGAATTTGAAGTGCTTAATAATAATAATAATAATAATAATAATAATAATAATAATAATAATAATAATAGTTTTATTTCTTACCTGTGTCTCATGGCTCCAGGCAGGTTACAGCATTACTAAAAAAATAAGCACATCCTTTTAAAACACTCCGTAAAATACACATATTCAGTCTAACAGACATTCAAACCTGTAGTCACTAGAGCCTATTATCACACTTTAACTGATGTGGCTGTACCCTGTGGGATTCTGGGGTTTGTTATCCAATGAGGCCCAAAAGCCCATTGCTTGAGGAGTCTAAACTATGGATCAGTTGCTCATGGGTTTATGATGGGCTTAATGGTTTGGCTCTGGTGGACAGAATGGGGTTAGGCCAAAGTACACAATGTGAGAGTTGGTAAATGTAAATAAGCAGAAGCTTTACTACAGTTTTTAAACCAAGATATACCCTGCAGTATAATAAAGTCACTCAGGCTTGTGTAACAAGTAACTATCTTTACTTCAGTTCAAAAGTTCAAACAGTGCAACAATATATACAGAGTAGAGGGAATAAAACAGGCCTTTTAAATAGTCTTTAAAATATACCTCATGCTTTAAAATGATCAGGCTTCAAGAGAGTTGGCAGCCAGCACTCTCTTCACTGTCCAAAGTGAAAATGGCAGTTAGAACCATTTGTCTCAGCAGCAAGCCAGAGATAGCAGCCAATTAGAACTCTGGCCCCTGGCATGCTCAGCCAATCAGCTGTCGACACATGTCTTTCCCAGTTAACCCACATCATGGTGTCCCTTTTCAAATCCTCACACACAATAGGTTAGGCCTGGGCAAACTTGGGCCCTCCAGGTGTTTTGGACTTCAACTCCCACAAATCATAACAGTTGCCAGTTTGCCCTTGCATACACTAGGTGCTTGAAGGTGATGACCATTACAATGGGTGTTGCAAGCGTGAGGATGGCTCGAAGCATGGGAAATCATTCCCGAAGATCATTATTATTTTACATTATTTACAGTATTTATATTCTGCCCTTCTCATCCCGCAGGGAACTCAGGGTGGATTACAATGCACATATACATGGCAAACATTCAATGCCATTTAGACATACAAAATATAGACCGACACAGAGGCAACTTAACATTCAAGCTTTTCTGGCTTCATGAGGGTATGCTCCATTCTGGCCACAGGGAGAGCTGCCGCTTCACCGTCCACTTGTGACACCGTCCTTTGATGGAGTACTTCCTCATTCTTACGCATGCTGCTGGAAGGTTTTATGGTGTGGTAAATTAGTTAAATTAGCCTTCTCGCATAAAGCGGTACCCAAATTTCCTACTTGACAGCTGCAACTGTCTTTCGGGCTGCATAGGTCAATAGTAAGCTAGACTATTAATGGTCAGGAGCTCATTCCGACCTGGCCTGTTTTCAAACTCGACTTCTCAATCAGTATTTATTTATTTAGAGTTTTTGTATACCGGTCTTGTCCACCTCCTAAGAGAGACTCAGGCCGATTTACAGCATGAAATTCAAATACAATAATAAGATACAAAACATCCTCATAATACAATAAAACAAGTGCATTAAAATACAATCATAAACATTACACAGGCCAGGTCGTCAGATGAAATCACAATTCGTTGCTATCCTTCCGTGTGGTCGGAGTCATTACATGGATTTGGGACCAGGCATTCGGACAATCGTGCAGATAAAGAAAGGACTTTGAGAATGGCCAGGAAATGACTAATGGAATGGAATTTGGAACTCTGAAAGACAAACGCTGAGCATGTGAATAGTTTTTATATGATGTGATGTATATTGATTGTTATGATTGTATTAACTGTGATAATTGTTTTAACTATGGTTTTTGTACACTAGGTATAATTTTTGTATAGGCATCAAATTGTGCCTTTTGTAAGCCGCCCTGAGTCCCCCCTCAGGGGTTGAGAAGGGCGGGGTAAAAGTACCAGAAATAAATAAATAAATAAATTGCCTCAGTCATTGAATGCCATATTCCAAAGCCAGATTTTTACTTGTTTTCTAAACGATAGGAGGGAAGGGGCTGATCTAATCTCTAGTGGGAGGGAGTTCCAGAGCCGAGGGGCCACCACCGAGAAGGCCCTGTCCCTCGTCCCCACCAGACGCGACTGCGAAGATGTGATTTAATGCAGCTGGCTACTAACTAGTTGCGCCCCAGCCCGGTCCTGATCATATCTGATAAAACAGACAAGGAAAGGTTTTGATGCAAATTCATTGTGTGCGTCCCTTTCATTCATCCCAGTTCATTGTGCAAGGATTATGATAATAATTTCCTCTGGGTGAGGTTGAAGTCCAAAACATCTGGAAGGTATAAGTTGCATCTAACACAGTGGTTCTCAACCTGTGGGTCCCCAGATGTTTTGGCCTTCAACTCCCAGAAACCCTAACAGTTGGTAAACTGGCTGGGATTTCTGGGAGTTGTAGGCCAAAACACCTGGGGACCCACAGGTTGAGAACCACTGACTAACAGGTCATGAGGCCATATAATTTCAGCCGTAGCACTGAAACTATGTCAAACTGCATGGATAGAGATAGTACAGCAATAACACACAGGCCCATCTATCTCTGAGAGAAAGAGGAGGGAAAGAAGGCAAGGGGCGGGGCTTCGAGTGGCATTCCCAGAATGCCGCGCGGCCGGTGGGCGGGGCTTTCTCTTGCTCGAGCGCTTGCTGTCGGCGGTTGGAAGGTGAGCGCGGCCGTTGGGCGCGTGCGGGTGGGGGAGGGGAGGGGAGGGGAGGGGGGATGCAGTTCAAAAAGGCGACCGTTGGAAGGGCGAGGGAGGGGGCGCTGCTCGGAGGGGTCCGAATTAAAGGCTGGGGAGGCCTCTCGAGGAAGGTGACTCCCTGAGAGCCGTGTKCTGACATTGTCTTGCCTTCACAGCCCGTTGGACTCTCTCCCTCTCTCTATGCAGTGTCCTTCCCAGGCTAACACTGAGGCATTCTGGGCAGGAATTCAGCAGGGACAGAGCTTGGCCCACACAACCCGCAGGCATTCAGCAATCCTCTTTCCTTCGCTCCACCTGTCMGTTCTCTGCCTTCCAAATGTTGACTAAGGTCTCTTCCACACAGCTGTATAAAATCCACACTGAACTKGATTATATGGCAGTGTGGACTCMGATCACCCAGTTCAAAGCAAGRTATTTATTTATTTATGACATTTATATGCCGCCCTTCTCACCCCAAAGGGGACTCAGAGCGGCTTACAAGATATATATATATACATTTTTATTTATTTATTACTCGAACTTATATGCCGCCACTCCCCTGGGGCTCGGAGCGGCTTACAAAAACAGGCTAAAATCGAACAACAATTTAAAACAATTTAAGAACAGSAATATCTAAAATCAAAGGCCTGTCGAAACAGGTATGTCTTACAAGCCCTGCAGAAAGCTGATAAGTCCCACAAGGCATGGACTTCAGGTGGCAGAGTATTCCAGAGTGATGGTGCCACTGCTGTAAAGGCTCCTCGTCTGGTTGCTGTTAGACGCAAGGTCTTGACGCTGGGAATTTCCAGTAGGTCTTGGTCCTCAGAACGGAGGGATCTCTGGGGTTGGTAGGGGGTGACCGGTCCCTCAGGTACATCGGCCCCAGACCATGCAAGGCCTTAAAGTTGAGTACCATAACTTTGAAAGTGATCCAGTGCTCAATTGGTAACCAGTGCAGCTGTAGTAAGATTGGGGTTATGTGGCATCTCATCGGAATTCCCGCAAGAAGCCGAGCAGCTGCATTTTGTACCAACTTGAGCTTCCGGATCACCGACAGAGGAAGGCCAATGTAGAGGGCGTTACAGTAGTCCAGTCTTAAGATGACCATAGCCTGGATCACCGTAGCTAGGTCGTCCCTGGACAGGTAGGGGGCCAGCCGTATAGCCTGTCACAGATGAAAAAAATTGGTTCTGCTAATGGCGGAGACCCGGGGCCTCCATCATCAGCAGAGGGTCCAAAAGGACTCCCAGACTCTTTACCAGTGATGACGGGCGTAGCGCCTCGCCATCCAGGGTAGGCAGCTGGATATCCCCACTGCCCGGTTGACCCAGCCATAGGATCTCCATCTTTGCTGGATTCACCCTCAACCTGCTGGCACACAGCCATCCAGTAACGGCTTCAAGGCACTGATGGAAACAATCGGGTACAGAGTCCAGTCGGCCTTCCATCTTCAGCACAAGCTGAGTGTCATCAGCGTACTGATAACACTCAAGCCCAAAACTTCAAACCAGCTGAGCATACAATACATTATATTATTATCATAGTACAATAACAGTATTATATATTCCTATATTGTACTATACCATTATATTGTAATATTATTAGTAATATTATGTGGAATATAAATATATAAATATAATATATTATTATATTGTATTACATTATAATATAAATATTATATGTATATACAATATATTACATCACAATATATTGTACTATATTATATTATTAGCATAGTGCAGGAGACAAGGTGGAATTGTCCTCTGGCCCCTTCTCTCTTCACTCTGGCCCAGAGTGGCAGTTGGTGCTGTGGGGAGGGGTCCCAACTGATGACATATATAGGAGACAAGATGGAACTGTCCCCTGGCCCCCCCTCTCTCCACTCGGGCCCAGAGCGCTGGTTGTTGCTGGGGAAAGGGGTCCCCAACTGATGACATCTGTAGGAGACAAGATGGAACTGTCACCTGCCCCCCCCCCACCTTCACTCTGGCCCAGAGCGGCGGTTGGCGCTGGGGGGAGGAGTCCCCAACTGATGACATATGCGGGAGACAAGATGGAACTGCCCCCTGCCCCCCCTCCCTCTATGGACAATCTGCCATGATATTCTGGGTTATATGACTGTGTGGAAGGGCCCTTCAAGATTCCCAGGACCCTTCCACACAGCACTATATCTTAGAATATCAAGACAGAAAATCCCACAATATCTACTTTGAACTGGGTTATCTGAGCTCATACTCAGATAATGTGGGATTTTCTGCCTTGATATTTTGGGATATAGGGCTGTGTGGAAAGGTCCCCCAGAGAAGAGAGTCAACAGTATTGACTCAGGGCCCTTCCACACAGCTATGTAACCCAGAATATCAAAGCAAAAAAATTGCACAATATCTGCTTTGAAGTGGATTATCTGAGTCCACACTGCCATATATTCCAGTTCAAAGCACAAAAGGTGGGGTTTTATTCAACTGTGTGAAAGAGGCCTCGGAATTATTAAACCAGGGGCAATTATCCAGTGACCCTACAGATGTTATACTGCAAATCTTGAAATCCTTAACAATTGTTTACATTGAGTAGGGTTAATGGGAGTTGTTATTTGAAAATATCTGAAGTTGCTCACCCTTGAGTTGAACCTGGCCTTTCCTCTTCATGTATCTATAAGGGCCCTTCCACACAGCCCTATAACCCAGAATATCAAGGCAGATCACCCCAAATATCTGCTTTGAATTGGGTTATCTGAATCCACACTTCCATATAATCCAGTTCAGTGTGGATTTTATACTGCTGTGTGGAAGGGGCCTGAATCATAAGTATTAATACCCTTCCTCCAAAGACTTTCTTCCTATCCCTTGTTTAACTCTCCTTCCACTGGGTTACTGTGAGTTTTCCGCGCTGTATAGCTATGTTCTAGTAGAATTCTCTCCTGAAGTTTTGCCCACATCTATGGCAGGCAGCCTCAGAGATTGTGAGGTCTGTTGGAAATGAGATAGTGGTATTATATGGGTTGTTGTAGGTTTTTTCGGGCTATACGGCCATGTTCTAGAGGCATTCTCTCCTGACGTTTCGCCTGCATCTATGGCAAGCATCCTCAGAGGTAGTAAGGAACCACTGACCGCAATGAGGAAACACAACATACAAACTATCTACAGACCCACCAAGAAAATCCAACAAATGCTACGTTCAGCAAAGGACAAGAGGGATCCTCTCACTTCTGCAGGAGTCCACCGTATACCATGCAGCTGTGGACAAGTCTACATAGGGACCACCAAACGCAGCAATGCCCAAACACGAATCAAGGAACATGAAAGGCACTGCAGACTACTTCAACCAAAGAAGTCAGCCATAGCAGAGCACCTGATGAACCAACCTGGACACAGCATATTTTTTGAGAACACAGAAATGCTGGACCGCTCTCACAACCACCATGTCAGACTACACAGAAAAGCCACTGAAATCCACAAGCATGTGGACAATTTCAACAGAAAGGAGAAAACCATGAAAAAGAACAAAATCTGGCTACCACTATTAAAAAACTCTAAAATTAAAACACCAAAACAGCAGAGGGAAAACAATCAGGCACATATAATAACCTCTCAACAAAAGATTGCTCCAGGCACTTCCAGGCTATCAAATGCTAATCAAGGAGGTCAGTTGAAACATTCACACCTAGCTCCAGCAGACAAGAGTCCTTTGTCCCACCCTGGTCTTTCTACAGATATATAAACCAATTTTCCTAGTTCCAACAGACCTCACTACCTCTGAGGATGCTTGCCATAGATGCAGGTGAAACGTCAGGAGAGAATGCCTCTAGAACATGAACATATAGCCCGCATAAACCTACAACAACCCAGTGATTCCAACCATGAAAGCCTTCGATAATACATGGGTTTTATATATCTGTAGAATGACCAGGGTGGGAGAAAGAACTCTTTTCTGTTTAAGGCAAGTGTGAATGTTGCAATTGATCCGCTTGATTAGTTTTGCAGTTTCAAAGCCTGGCTGTTGCTGCCTGGGGGGATCCTTTGTTTGGGAGGTGTTAACTGGCACATGACTGATGGCAGTCTGGAATTCCCATGTTTTTGAGTGGTGTTCTTTATTTCCTGTCTTGATACTGGTATTTTTTATTTCTGGTAACCTCCAAAATAGTGAACACTTCATATACACCCCATTTCCCTCATTCACACAGACCTGTGAACAAACCTCTGAGAATACTTGCTGTGGATGCAACCAAAACGTCAGGAGAGTATGCTACTGGAGCATGGCCATGCAGCCCGGAAAACTCAGAGCAACCCAGTGATTCTGGCCAGGAAAGCCTTCGACAACACATTTCTTTCCACTTCTTTTTGGCAGGTTGTTTCCCCAACCTCCGCCCCTGCACTGCTTTTGAAATCTGAAGCCTCTTTGAGGTGGCATTTGCTCTCTGGTGCTCTGTGAAGTGTCATGGTGCATCAATATATTAATAGGATTATAAAAGCCTGGAAGGAAACCAGCTATAACAGGAGCTGTTAAAATTTGAATACCAGGAAGCTGGGGAACACATTGTGTCTTAAGTAAGAGCAGGAACTGGGCTTTAAATGTTAAATTCTCAAGAAAAAATTGGATGTTTAAGGAGGTGGCAGGTATGAACAGAGCTGAATGCTGAAAATGGGAGAAACAGAAATGGGAAACTGTACATACCTACAGCATCCTTATCTGGACTTCCGAAATATAAAACATTACAAAATCAAGCATTGTCTACATGGATACCTGAGATAGTGATGTTTTCTGATGGTTCAGTATACACCTCTTAATGCACAAAGCTATTTAAAATATTTCATAAGATTACCTTCATGTTGTGTTCATATAAGGTGTTTGTAAAACATAAATGAATTTCATGTTTAGACTTGGGTTCCATCTCCACGATATTATATTGTGTGTGTATTTGTATGTGGATATATGGATGGGTGGGTATGCAAGTACAGGCATTCCAAAAGCCAGTACACTCTGGTTGCAATACTTTTGAATTCAGGATACTCAACCTGTTTGGAGCCCCTGGTAGCACAGTGGGTTAAAGTGCTGAACTTGCTGACTGAAATGTCTCAGGTTCTAATCTGGGGAACGGCGTGAGCTCCCCCTGTTAGCCCCAGGTTTTGCCAGCCTAGCAGTTCGAAAACATGCAAATGTGAGTAGATCCATAGATACCACTTCGGCGGGAAGTTAATGGTGCTCCGTGCAGTCATGCCAGCCACATGACTTTGGAGATGTCTACGGACAACACCGGCTTGTAAGAGTCGGACACGACTGGACTTAATGTCAGAGGAAAACCTTTACCTTTACTAACCTGTTTTTTCTTTAACTTGCTGTCAACTGCCTTTAATCCTGTTAGGAAAAGCTGGGATATAAATTAAGTACTATTAATTAATTCATTGCAGGGGTGTATTCTTGAAGAAGCCATGGGAACAGATCCAGGGTTTGATCTTTATGCTTCAGAAAGGTTAGAAATTGTTTATGTAGCTGTAAGCAAATGCCTTTAAGATGAAAAGGAAGCTTAGTGTAGGAAGTCAGGGAGGAAATATAATAGCTGTAGAGATTAAATTCATAAAGTTTATTAGAAATATCTGCCTAGATTGCCTGCTGTTGAAAGTTGCATATTGTTAAACCTGGACAGGAAAGAGGAGCTGTAGGTTTGTGTTGGTACATTGAGGAGACCAGTATGAAGTCAATCTTTTCTGAGCTGCAGGGATCAAAGCCAAGCCAGCAGACTGGATACTCAATAGGCATATCTGAGTGAAATCAGGACCACCAGAAGAATAATTTTAAAAGTTTCAGTATCATACAGTACATGATTTTCATGTGTTTTTACATTATGCAAGATTGTGTATTTTACACATTACAGTATTATATGTACTATAAAGGACTTGGGGCAATGGATTCGAATTTCAAGAAAGGAGATTCCACATGGACATTATGAAGAACTTCCTGACCATAAGAGCTGTTCAGAAGTGGAATTCGCTGCCTCAAAGTGTGATCAAAGTTCCTTCTTTAGATGCTTTCAATCTGTCAGGAGTACTTTGATTGTGCTTTTTCTACATGGCAGAGGGGGGTTGGACTGGATGTAACAAGCTTGTGAAAATAATATTCAAATAGTAGCTTTCCTGAAGGTTACAGTTCTATGAGTGTTGAACTAGAACTTCCAGAGATCCAGGTTTGAATATCCACACAGCCATGGAAACTCACAATGTGATTGTGGATAGCTCTCATTATTTCAGGGGAAGGGCAATGTCTAACCTTCTCTAAATAAATCTTGCCCAGAAAACCCTATGAGATGAAGTTGACTTGAAGACAGAAAAAACAAAATTGGGAGTCGTATGATTGGAAGTGACAAGAAAGGGTAAATGAACTAGAACCTGCTTGTTAATTACTAAGTAATACTAAAGATGACTTAAACATTCATTATCTTAGTGAATGATATCTTTTTTAGCTAGTATTGGTAATCCAGCCTGTTAACTGATTTGAAACATATATACTGATGTGACCTTCCTCAGAACAGCAAAAATTGTGTGGTGATTATCTTTTTGAATATGTATGTATGAAAATTTAAAAAACGAATGCACAGCTAAGTACAGTGAGAGCTTCTGATGGAGTCAGAACAGGTGGTGGGACAGGAGGAGGCAAGGAAGAAGAAAGCTTATGTAAAAGCAGTCATGACAGATCAGAGACAGAATAATAACTAGAAGAGATGCTGCTTGGGAGCTTTTGAAAATTTGGGCAAGCAGATGGGTGGGTGGAGGGAAAATGCTATGATGTAAAAATGGTGAAAATTCATAGGATGCATCTAGGACACACTTTGATACAACTTGTACAGCAGCCAAAATGCATGAGACTAGTTTAAATTTTTTGCTGTTCTATAATTCTTTCCTCATTTAAAACAACACATTGCTGATAAGCTCTCTCATTAAGCTTTCTCTATGACAATTACAGAATGACTGAAGATTGAACAGACAATGGGATTTACGTATCCTGATGGAATTTTGTGCATGGAGACAGATTGTTTGCTATGGCATCTGAGACAGAAAAGGCCCATGCTCTTCTCCAGTCGTTCAGCACAGCCTCTATCATTTCAAGCCTAGGACTGGGGATTTTCTGCTTTGTAGCTGATAGACTTTTGCAGTTTTCCTTCATTCAGCAAAATGACTGGTTGCGGGCGATCTCTGATAACACTGTGCATGGTGTTGTGGGATTGTGGTCTTGGGCAATAGTGATTGGACTCAAGAAGAAAAGTGACTTTACAGAAGTCTTGTTAGCTGGTTTCCTCTCATCTGTAATTGACATGGATCACTTCGTTTTAGCTGGTTCTCTTTCATTAAAGGTACGTAAACCACAGATAATTATCTGAATTGTTTTGAAGGAGTGATGATTTGTGAATTTCTTTGTTGTTAATGCTATTTTTGTCACTACATCATAGTAACAAGTTTATCATCTTTTTGATATCAAAAGAAACAATTGGAGCATGTCTTAGCCTGGAAGCATAGAGTATAAAGTTAATATTCTGGATGAATTATTATTTGGATTACTGTAATGTGCTCTGTGTAGGGTTGCCTTTAGAAAGCATTCAGAAACATCATTTGGCCCAAAGAGCTGTAGCCAAATTGTTAACAGGTTGAGTGCAAAATGCATTCTATATTCTATTCTTTAGGCGATCACCCATGGCCGAGTCTTAAATGGCTTGTTTCCAAGCTCTTCTCTCTTTTTGACTGTCGTCTCATTCTTGTTTGGTGGGAAGAAAAGAGAGAGGACCTTCTCTATGGCTGCTCCGAGATGTTGGAAGTTCCTTCTTAGGAAGGCTAGGTTGGTTTTAGCCTTGCTCTTTCTCTGCCTATTCAAAACATGGTTATCCTACCAGGTTTTAAAATTGTTTCTATAATGGGCCTCAGCACTTATATTGATTTTTATATTGTCTTTCAATTAGTATTCAACATTTTAAGCTACAGTGTTGAATTGTTTTTTAAGGAATGCTATAATTTTTAATCTGTGCTGCTTTTAATAATGTGTAAGTTTCTTGAATCCTATTATTGAGGAAAGGCAAGATATAAATGGGTAGAGAGAGCCACCTTGGTTTGAGTGTTCAATTACAACTCTCGAGATCATGGAAACTCATTGGGTGTCCTTGGAAAGTCACACTTTCTCAGCCTCTGAGGAAAAAAGGCAACCTTTCTCTGCACAAATCTTGCTAAGAAAAAACCATGATAATTTTTCCTTAAGATCGCCTTAAGATTGAAACAAGGCATGCAACAACAAATGAATAAAATATGTGGCTCTGTACATATGTGGCTTCACCTGTTGATTTATGTTGGGCCCATATGTTTCACAGGGTTTTCTTGGGCAAGGAAATATAACCAACAGTATTCATTAGCACTCCAATTGTAGTACTAACTGCGACTAACCCTGATTAGCTTCCAAGGTAAAAGAAAATTTGGTGCAGTTAGCATATTTAAGATGGAATAAAAATGACGTTGTCATCCTTGTTGTTGCTTCTGGGACTGAGATTTCTTGTCCACATTTGCATTGTTAAAACCAAAATGGTGATGCATACCCACTCCAACATTCCTTACCATTCTTTGGTTGCACGAGCTAGGGATGTTTGTTGCAGTGTAAATTTCGTTATGGAGAGAATTGGATTTAGACAATATATGTTCTATGACACTAATCTTCCCCATCCACCAGCTCTGTAACTTGTCCACAGTCTTTATCCCTCACAAATTAAAAGAAACAAGATTGTTAGAACATAGATTTGAGTTTGAACCCAAAAGCACCAGATTCAAGTAGAGAGACCACCATGGTGACATGTCCCCAGAGCTTGTGTCATGAATCCTAGAGCAGGAAGACACACAACAGCCTTTGCTCAGTATGTGTGCCTCACATCTCAAGCTGTAGAAATGGTTTAATAATCCCCACCCCCCAAAATCTAGTCAGATACATATTTGTGAATGTAGTCTTTGCATCTCCAGTTCATCCACTCTGTGGACTTGTTTGTATAGAGATCTTGCTAAATACAGTGTACTGAAATCTTTGTAATAATAATGTTGGAGGAAACTTGCTCTTCAGCTTGTGATTCCATCCTGCAGGCTTCAGTTGTGCAGAAGTCAGAATCTAAACAGTAGAAATGAAATGGAATGGAAACTGAACCTGATGGTGTGGATCCCCAGAGGCCCATTTCTTCCTCCACGGCCCAAAGCTGAAGCATATTACGTTAGCCTAGCTCTGAACCCCATCATAAAAAGCGGCATGAGAATGAGGGACTCTAGATGGGATTCTCTAGTGTGATTATAATCCCAGATGAAGCACTGCTTCACACAAGATATAGTTAAATAGTGGAGATCCGTACCACATGATATACCGATATCTAGCAACTTTGGTTTTAAAAAAAGGATTAGTTAAATTCATTGAAGGATAAGGTTTTCATAGCTACTAGCCAGTGCCTTTCTGATTGCTCTCAACAGACCCTTATTCTGTCTTAATTCTATACAGTACTACCATTCCTTTGTTGTTTACTTTACACTATTGATAACCACTAGGTATGAATGAAGAAAATTGAATTGTTCTATCAGTCTTACTGATGCTTCAGATGCAAGAGGTTTGGCATAGTCCTACTAGCATCTGTCAGAAAACCCATTGTTCTTAACTTCTACTATGTGTTCCACCATGGATCAGTGAATGAAGTACAAGAGGAGAAGATATCATCAAATGCAATCCATTATAAGAACAAAGGAATGACTGGATAAATCCCAGCTCCTGTTGAGTGGTATCAGTTATGGCAATGTGGCATCAAAATAGGATTGTCCCTTTTTTGCTCTTGTAAGATCCTGGTGATTTTGAATGCAATACCATAAGTTTCTTACATAGAGTGTTTATATGTGTTCATGTTACCTGTCAGTCTATGGCAACATCATGAATTTGATAGGATTTTCTTAGGCAAGGAATACTCATAGATTGTTTTTGCCAGTTTCTTTCTCTGAATTATAGCCTACAACACAATGCAGTGGTTTGAGCATTGGACTGCACCTCTAGAGACCAGGGTTGGATTCCTTGCTCGGCCATGAAAACCAACTGGGTGCTCTTGAGCAAGTTGTTTACTCTCAGCCCCAGAAAGCACCATTTCCTTAAGGTCATTAAAATTTGGAAAGGACTTGAAAGCCCACAGTAACCTGATATTCATTGGTAGTCTCCCATCCAGGCATTAATCAGAGCTGATCTTGTTTAGCTTCCAATATTAGATGGAATATGGTGTTTTTATGTTATGAAAAAACAACTTGGAAAGAAAAAAGTGACAACCACATTGTGCTACATCATGGATAAAAGCTATCCCATTTCAGAATATTTTCCCATGTGAATTTTTTCATTGTCATCATATAGGCACCATTCTCAAATATTTTTCTAAATATCAAATTCTCAAACATATTTTTTCATCTTTTCTATCTATTTTTAAAAAAACATCCTGGATAGTTCTTTATTGCACTTTTTTCATCTTTGCTTCACCCATCTTTGGAAACCACACACTTTCCTTATAAAGGGATTTGATTTTAATTATCCAATTTGCATAGCAGGGCTACACATTATCAATTTGGTCTTGTATTGAAATTCAGAATACATTATAAGCATTTTGCTATAGAACTACATGTGATAGCATTTAAAAAAATGAAAATAAAACCAATTTAGTGTATTTTATGCATTTCATAATGTTTATGGAAACCTACTTAGTTTTTTCCTGGTTTACTGTCTCTTGTTTAGTGAGTGTTTATGTAGGAAATGATGCATTTGAAGGGAAAATATAAAATAGGAGTGTGAATTAACTATGTATTAGATCAGGGATCCTCAAACTTTTTAAACAGGGCCAGGTCACAGTCCCTCAAACTGTTGGCGGGCCAGATTATAGTTTAAAAAAAAACATGAATGAATTCCTATGCACACTGCACATAGCTTATTTGTAGTGCAAAAACATTAAAAACAATACAATAATTAAAATTAAGAACCATTTTAACAAATATAGATTTATTAGTATTCCAATGGAAAGTGTGGGCCTGCTTTTGATTGATGAGATAGGATTGTTGTTATTATTGTGTGCTTTGAAGTAGTTTCAGACTTAGGTTGACCCTGAGTGAGGGCCGGGTAAATGACCTTGGAGGGCCGCATCCGGCCCCCGGGCCTTAGTTTGAGGACCCCTGTATTAGATCTTGACTTTGGAAATCCATCTTTTCTTGTTTTAAAACAGAAGACATGAAAGCTGTGTCTTTTCACCCTGTTCCAGTAGATGGTACACTTCACAAGCGATCTAATTGCAGACCAGTTTTGCAAGTAGGGTTCTTAATTTAAAGACCAAATCTATATCTAAAATTGGAGTGTGGGGGATATGGTTATGTGTTAAAAATATATTTGTAATCACAACCTCAAAGCACCTCAAAGATGATGGCTAACTTTGTTAACCTAAGGCTTTAGTTGCATTTAGATAGGTGAATTGAATTAAAGTAAAGTTTATCATAATATATCATCATACTGTGGTTTTACAGTTCATATGCCCTGCTGGAAGAAACAAATAGTTTAGTAAGATCAAATGTTTTAACATTTTTAATGCTTTTATTCCAGCAAGAACAGTTATTTTTGATATATTGTTGAAGGCTTTCATGGCTGGAATCACTAGGTTCTTGTGGGTTTTTTCGGGCTATAGAGCCATGTTCCAGAGGCATTTCTCCTGACGTTTCGCCTGCATCTATGGCAAGCATCCTCAGTTATTTTTGATGTTGATATATTATATTCTTACATGTTTTCAGTAATTGCAATGATTCTATTTTAAGTTATGTTAATTTGACCTATGTACTATTTTTTTTGTATTGTTTGAACTGTTACTTGCTGTAAGCCGCTCTGAGCCCCTTCTGGGAGAGTGGGTGGGATATAAATAAAACTACTACTACTACTACTACTACTACTTCTCCTCCTCCTCCTCCTTATTATTATTACATGGTTGCTCTTAAACACAACAGTAATTTTAAAAGTATCAGGCATCAAAGCAGCATTAGTAGCATTGTTTTTCTGGACAGAGATGGAGACCCGTTTAGTCTGATAACACCCATTAGAATTATAAACATATTGTTTCTGATCATAGCACCTCTGCATACAGGTAACAATGTAGGTCAGTGATCAGAAATGATAAAATAGTGATTTCAAAATTAGAAGATAACAAGTAGAGACTTGCAACAAAATAATACAATTAATTGCTGCTGTGCATTGTCTACCTACGTTTTTTGCAAGATGTCCCTGCTCTAACTCGGATCTTATTTCCTCTAATAATAATAACTAGCTGTGCCCTGCCACGCG